AGCAACAAACCTCGTCGCCTTGGCCACGGGCGGGTGGCCTGACCAGTGTGCATGGCAACTTCCCTCCTGAAGTCGAAGCATGAGAGCATGTTGGGCCCGTTTGGGCTCAACGCAGCTGCCTTAAGGGGGCTCTTTTACTCTCGACACTCCCTTCTGAAACTCATATGGAGACTCATCGGAATTCCCTTGTGAACTTGGGCCGAGGCACTCGGAGGTGCCGGCTTGGGCGGCGGCGCGGAGTCAACGGAGCTCGGGTCGACGCAGTCGGGGGCCGGCTCGCGCAGGCAGCGCTGCCCGTGATAAGTCTTGCGCTTGTAGCCCTCCTGCGCCAGGAGGCAGACAAACAGAGAAAAAGGTGGGGCGAGGTTCTCACGGGGGGTTTCAAGGGCACACATGCTGCAAGCTGTTCGATCTGCCGCCAACTCACCTGGAGCCACTTCTTGCATGCCTTGCAGCAGTAGCCTCAAGTGGAGTTCACATCCATCCGAGTGCACTGCTAATCCTGCTTCTGCGCACACATGAATAGACAGGCGCCTTGAAACTCATCTGTCTCCGGATGGGCCAAGTATGTGCCTTCCGCTAAGGTCGACATTCGGCACAGATTCAGACATGCAACCAAACTCCAGCACAGTCTCTCTTGCAGTTGTGGCACAGTGCTCGTTGCGGCATCGCTGTCCTAGTCTGTTGAACCCTGGAATATGGACGCACATGACATGGAGTTTCGAATGCGGGCATGTGAAGAGGCGGAATTCATCGCCCAAGCGTCGGTTGTCGGCCTTTGGCCGACGTAGGTTCGGTGGCGGAGCCTTGGGCCGTGGCGCCGCCACTGGGGGCGGCGCCTTGGCGAACTTCGGCTCATGCTCTCCTGGGCCTTAGTGGCCGTAGAACTGAGGGCTTCACCTTAAACCCTAAACCATAAACCCTAAACCCTAAACCCTACAGGCCGGCATGTTCAGCACAGGTGACTTGCGCGTTGAGGGCTTCGACTTTCACAGCAGTATCAAGGCACACGCTTGGAAGACGGATCTTTACTGGGCGTATGCATTACATAGGCGTTCATGGGGAGAGAGTGAGAGAGAGACACTTTCAAAATGGCATGACAGGAAGCTCAAGATGCAATGCCCAGCAGCTGGGTTCACTCTTCGAAGCCCCCTTGGCCAGCAGCTCCGCCAGGAAAGGGCCCATGCTGACGCTGAAGCGTTCCCGCCTGCCTGCACACTTCGGGCCCCTGAGATGCTCTTCTTCCGCCCACTTTCCTTGGTTCTCACGCCGTCTTATAGGCATTGCGGGATTTCAGAAAAGCCCATCAGTCGCAAACAGCGCAAGATGCCAAGATGCCGCACAAGAGGCACCAGGGGTAGTGGCGGGAGTCCTCTTCGAAAGGCATCAGCAGCTTCGACTTGGAGGCTCACAAAATTCCGCTACATCTTCACGTCATGCCACATTTTCTTAAGATGACCATGTGCGTCGGCTCCTCGCAATAGCCCATCGCAAGCCACTTCTTATTCTCATCGCAAGCTCGGACCCAGGAGGTGGTCCAGGGGTCTTGTCCCGGCGGTTGTCTCACTGCGTCTGCGTTCGGAGGCGGCTTCAGCCATCCGTCCAGGCCTTATGGGAACTGATGCATCACGAACTCTGCCTCTGTCAGCCTGCAACAACATCCCAAAGTCGACTCCCCGAACGTGTGCAACCGGGGGGGGGGGGGGGTGTATTTGATGAGGGCGAGGGCTCGATGTTCGACTGGAGCCTGTTTCCACCGCAGGAACTTTCAAAAGCTAACGTGTTTCGCAGGTGGCTCACTTCTGCCTGCTTGAGGTCTTGAGGCTGAGCGCCCACCGTCCGGGAGTCGATTTGCCAACTGCCTGATGAGTTTCATGGTTGGTTTGGTTCTCCCATGTGTGCCTGGGGCACCCTATCTGTAGCGCATCGCCAAAGCGGCTTTACGGAAGAAAGAGTGTGGATGCTCCGGATACACCTTCACTTTCTCGTACGTGCTCACATATCCACTACTCTTTACAGCGCTTGAACTGCCGGGTAACCCGCACACTGGTTGTGTGATGCGTGTCATCTGCCTTTGCGAACAGAACTCGCCAGGCACCCGACCGTCACCCATCTCGTCCGCGTAGCCTCCGGGACAACAAGCTTCTTGAGTGCAGAGCTTCGGGAAGGCTATGGTGCGTGGGCAGAGCACGCGCAGTGGCACCTGTAGAGTTACCATGCCTGCCGGTGTGATGAGTCCATCAAAGTGGGCCCACAAAAGGCCTCCCGAAGCTGGCGACGAATCGTCCACAACAGGGACGGAGTCCTCGATCCGAGTACCGTCCTCAAGTTCTGGGATGTGTGGGCGCCAGCTCATGCATGTGACTCGTGACTAGCAGCCATCATCTACCCACGGGCCACCTTAGGTGGCACATTACGAAGGCCCACTGTCTCAGACGTCGAGGGGCACTCGCCAGGCCACCGAAGCTGGTTATCTCCACAAACTGCCTGAGATCAAAGGCTTAGCATGTGTGTGCTAGCTACTGCAACCGGCACGGAAGAAAGTGCTTTTTCCGGCGAGGCATCGGTCGGGCTTGTCGGGCTTTTTTGCCTCAGCAGCTAGATGCTCCAGCAGCTCAAGCACAGGTTCCATCTGGCTCCGTCTTTGACCTGGCTGCATCACCAAAGTCCTCGCCGCGACTTCAGTTCAATTGACTCCGACTTCCGAGCAAGTCTTCTGGATTACACCACCGCGGGGGGGTACTAGTGAGCGTCGGCATGCCCAGCTGTTGTAGCTATAAGCATCATGGTCCCCGCAGCTTGCACGCCGCGCCGAAGTGCCAGAGGAACATCCTCATTCCTGAGTGGCTTGTTTTCAAGGGTCGGCGTCAGGAACAATTGATAGCCACGTGACCGGAGCAAGTCGGCAATAGCAGCTGGGTCGTAACTGTCGTCACGATCGCGCCACATGGCCACAACAGCAGCCCTGACCAAAGATGGGCGCAATCGCTCGCCAAGGGACTTGAGCACGCCCTGTTCTCGGCCATTCACATGCACGCGAAGTAGATCCAAAGTTCCAAAGTCGCCCCAAGATGAAGTGAGGATCTTCTCCAGAGTCGCAGCTGCGCAGTTCGCCACCGCGCCGTCATTTGTGGGATCTGTTGGGTCTGTTTGCGCGAAGTCCCACTTCGGGTCTCTCGTCTCATGGATGCTCGCCAGCGAGGCAACGCGGCATGCACCCTCCCGATCTGACACAAACGCCTGGCGAACGATCAGGCGATCGGCCAGCCCATTCCAGGAAGCAGTGTGCCGTATGGCCTCTGCTGACTGCTGGTATGGCTCCACAGCCAAAGCAAGAGCCGCAGGCACAGACGTCAGAACATGAAATGTGCAGCCGCCGAGGGAAGCTCCGACCTCCACAAACCGAAAAGGGGATCCCATGGTCCGGGTGGGTATCTCATTCAGAAGATCTCGAAAAGCATCGTCGCAGTGAAAATTTCTGAAGCCTCTCACAGAATTGGCCTCCGAGAATGGTGCAGGTAGGAGACGTGTCCAGAAAGGATTGGGGCCCAGTGGCGTGTTCACCGCCGACCAGAGACGGCAATCGAGACGGTCCAGCAGCGAGAAAAAAAGGTGAGCGCCTCTGAACATGAAGTGATGCAACAGCCTGGAGGGCCTGCCATCAGTCATACAGGCCAGGTTGAACTGGGCAGAGGCAAGCAACTGCCGGATCTGCAAGCCGACCGCATCATCCCAGGTAGGACTGGCCTGAAATCTGAGCTCGTCCACCTGCAAAATCTCTGATATGATCCCAGGAAGTGTGCAAGGTGACGCCGGGCTTGGGCGGTCGAGTTGCATCGGCACGTCGGATGCCAACTCACGCTCCAGCGCTTTCCACCACATCAGCTGGTGTTTTGGCAGGCGGCGCAGCTTCATGTCGCCGCCCAGCAGTGGCGAGGACCTATGCGCTGCCTTGATGAAGCTCCTCGCACGGAAGAAGGGTGCAGAGGACCACGTGCCTGGATCATAGTGACGGACGAGGTTTCCGTCCATCAGAAGCTTCTGCAGGTGGGATTCGCCCAGCCGGAGCCAGTGCTTGATCTCGCGCACTCGCGCCTGCCACTTTGAAGCGTTCGTTAAGTTGAAGTGCCGATGCTGCTGCGAGAGCCTCGGAACGAAGCTGTTCAGCACATCCGCTGCTTCTGCTAACACTGCCGCGCTCGCCAAGTCCGGGCACAACCGGTACGCACGCAGTGCTGCAATGCTAGACATGGAAGCAGGCCGTATCCAAAAACCCTTCCAGGGCATTCGCTCGTTCAGCTGGCCACGTTTCCATCCACATGGGCTCGAAGTCTTGTACCCCATTTGCCATCACGTTACTGCGCTTCCGAAGGTTCCACTAAGCTTTCCTGAACTTTGAGGGCTTGGTACTCAGCTTCACCCTGAACGAACCTTCAACCTTCAACGTCCGAAGGTTTTTTACTGGATCGCAAAGCATCTAACCACTGGCTTCATGGCTGCATTCGTCAATCTATGTATGCTTGAAGACTGAAGAATTCTGCATGAAAGTGGCTAGGGTCCAACGATCACAGATACACGCAGCCTACGCGCGGAGAGGCCATCAGTCGAAGCTGGTTTGAGTTCAGTATGTGACAGGCGTTTCGTGTGCTCATGACCCGAGAAGTGAAGGAGGCTAGTCAGGTCCAGTGGCGGGGCGTTCGGGCGCGGCCGGTCGCGGCCATCCATGTTGCTTGGCGTATCCTGTATTCTTCCTAAAGGCGGTGCCTAAAGACGGGATCATACAGAGCTCTCTACCCGGTTGTTTCTGACAAGAGCTTGTGGCCAAAGTCCAGATGGCTGGAAGGCATGATCACGTGGTACGATGCTAACGGCTGGGCGTGACAGAGAACACGTGAAAACGTGTGGGACGCTGAAGTTCAGGGGCAAGGTCCCGCTGAAGGCTGCTGCTCTGACATAGCATGGATCTCGCATGCTCTCGCCCTCCCCTCTCAGAAGGTCACGCGGAACGTCGGGATCTTCATGAACTGCACGAATGTGCGGATCTCTCGCAATATTCCAAATCTCCTGGCCGCTCGGTTGGTGGGGCAGCTCGGATGCTGCAAAGTGGGTCTGGAACTTGCCTGGGTTTCCAAACGGTCGGTTCTTCATGCACCGCCACCCGCACAAAGAGCGCCTCGGCTGAAAGTTGTCACCCCAAGGGCTCTGCGCAAAATGCTCCAACAACAAACAGAAAATAGGTCGTGCCCAGCCGCACAGACCAGGCTCAGGATTCCCACGAAGGCCAGGCTCAGTCGCCAGCCCCGGACACCGCGAATGACGCTTTCCTGCATTTCGGGTCACTGGCGTTATGGGGCTCTTCGGTTTCAGGGGTTGAGGCGCTCTGGGGTGTCGGGCCACGTCTGTGGAAAAACACGGCCGAGCATCCGAGATTGGGGTCACCATCAAGCACGCCAAGACTTGACCCACGTTTGCAGCGCAAGCCACCTAGGCCACGGCTTGAAATTTCACATGAAAGAGTGAGTCCACCAACCCACGGCGTATGGAGGCCATGGTCCATCTAAACGCTGCAAAGCCCACCTTGCCAAATGCAGAACCGCAGTTGGAGGACGTCGTCAAGTCTGCGACGATGGATTGCATCACCGGCACCTGTCCCCACCCTTGACACATGAGCTCACGCAAGTTTCACAGCTCGAAACCTCTGCCAAGCCAGTTCAAACCAGTGCAGCGTAAGATGGCCAAGTCGCCATCATCGCCAGTGCGGCTCCATTGAGCACCTGAGGCACTTGGCACCCCGAATGCCATGCCCAGCGCCTGGCGCTAGTTCCGAGCACGCGTTTGCAGCCCAGCGGCACGCAACACGATCATGATCACGAAGTTCGAGGTCAATGCCAACTGTATCGTGCAGAGGCCCCAAAGCATGGCGCCCACCTCCATGCTAAACTGCTGGATTAACATCCTCTAAACTCAAGAAAAACCTACAAGAGCAAAAACCCCAAACAATCCTCGGCCCTAGGCATCCTAGGAAGCGACTGCGGACAAGTTCACACAGCACCTGCAGCAACGACTTTCGCGAGGCCCCAGAGTCCACGAGATTCCCCCAGACTGGCCCTGAGACGGCGCAGGCCACGCCTTCACTCAGAGGGGGGTCTCAGACAGGTTTTGGGCTTGAGCGGTCCAGGGGTTGTCGTCGCTCTCGCACATGGGCAAGGCTTCGTTCGGGGTTTCGACTCTCACTTCGGGGCTGAGGGTCTACAGATGTCGAAAGATGTCTACAGGGGGCCATGTGCTCATCTGCAGAGTCTTACAGACAAACGAGGAGAATCTTCCAACTGGCACGGCACTCTCACATGCCTTGGCAGAGCGCGAGGACCGCAAGCCTTAGGCATAAGAATGCATATGCCCATGTATATGTATTTATTGCATATAGATGTATGTACCTACTTCGCCGAAAATATGAGCTGACATGTACTAAGCCTTGCGCTGGCTGGGGGCAAGGTGGAGATCCTAGGCTGCCAGCGAAGCTCGGACCCGCAAATCCTCTGCGGCACAGAGCATGAGTCCCATGCAGCCTGGGGGCATGTTCCATGGCACGGAAGGAGGACGGCAGCATCTGTATATCCTGACTGCCATCTGCCCGCCCCTCAACGGCGCGCGCAAAGACCCAACTTCCCAGATTCCAAGAAGCCGAGCGGCTGCCCCCTTCACTGCAGAAAGTATGAACAAGGCGGCCAAGGTCGAATCTCTGCGAGATGTGTCGGCCACGGGCGGCCTGGAGAGAAATTCTACCACCAAGATGGTAAGCCAACTCCCATTGCCATCGACCCCAACAGGCCCCGAAGTCATGGTGAGGGCAAGGCCGGCGCAGACCCACACCTAACCCATTGTGCTTGCTACTTGCACTATGTGTCCGGAGCAGCCGTGCCTCTGCAAATTCTGTAGATCATGGTCGGCTTCTTGCATCTTGAAACCTCCACAGAACATGCATTTTTCGGTCCTCTTGTCTTTTGCCTCTAAGCTAGGAACCCCCAGGCTCAAGAAACATCAAACCTGCGAACTTGAATATCATCCCAGCCAGCACGCGCTTCAGAATAGCTTGATGGGCATCCACAGCATGCAAAAAGTGTACATATATATATATACACACACATATATATATATATATGCCAGGGTCCAGCCACGCAAATGACCACAATGTATAGTCCAGCGCTGACATGCAAAGCACGAGGTCTTCCGAGCCGCTTTGACGAGTCCCGATCGCCTGCCTTCCCTTGGTGAACTCCGCCACAGCACTGTAACCCGGAAAGTGACCAAGTATCCCTGGCTTACCCTGTAAGCTGTGACTTGGCAGGCTACGAAACCCAAGGAGCTGCCTGCCCACTTGACCCTGGAAGCTGTTCAGAAGCTCAAATCCGAAAGTTCCTCAACCGAACCTTCCTCACCATGGGCCAGGCCTGGCACGAAGCCAGGGCAGCACCTTTCACATAGACATTCCTTAGCTGGCTTTAGCTCCTGCCGCGCCGACTCTTTGGGGCCGGCGGGGCACGAACTCGTCGTGTGCGACGAGCCGAAGCAACAAAGAAACGGCAAACAAGCGTCTGAATGGGGGCGCCACGGAATGTGAGGCCCCTGTGCAGTCCGAGCCCAAGTGGCGGCGGAGGGGAACATGGGGAAAGATCTTGAGGTGCCTGTGGGGCATATTGGGAGCGCGGAAGAAACCCGTGCAATCCAGAAACGGATGCCGTCATGCCAGCACTCCCCAACCCTTCCCCCTAAACCCTTTCTGAACCCAGACTCAGAGCATCAGCTGCCCCAAGCCCTTCTTTGCATCCAGGACTCTGGCAGATTGCTGGGGCTCCGGCGACGAACGCAGAACCCGAAGCCCTTTTTTGCATCCGGGCTCTGCGCGATATCTGCCGGAACCAAAGGCTCAACCCGAAGCCCTAAAACCCTAAACCCCTTGGAGTCCTTTTCAGCGTTGCACCTTTAGGATGCTGCCATGGTCAATTTTGGCCCGCGGCACCCGCAAGCGCGCTCTATGAATTTGGGGAGCTGAGCAATGGCTTGGCTAAGCCTTTCTAGTCACAAGCAACATGTGTGAATGTGGGGCTCCTGGTACAGAACCTGAACAAGCTTCTGGCATCTGACTTGGCGGGGTAGTATTCAGGGAGCTCCACCTAGTGGAACTCCCCTGTACGGGTGAAACGGCACACTGCAGCCTTCTGCCCGCAGCATCCCAAAGGCCTGAGAAGCTTCGGATCTGTGGCATGGCCAGACCTTGATGAACAAAGTTGCCAAAACCCTTCCTGACCTTTCCAACACATGACTCTCAGACCCCATGATGCCTCCATGCACTTGCCAGCACATTCAAGCTGGACCCACATCCCCCCTATACATTCCCCACTATTCCCGTTCCCATTGCCGCGCATGACCTGGAATACGGCAGCCTCCCAGCCGGCTAGACGTCGCCGCACGGCGTGGTCCTCCCGGAGCCGCACCGCCCCTTGCAGACATGCGGACGGGATCCCAGACGGCTCTTTCAGGATGCAGGGTTTGGAGCGCGCATAAGGACGCCACACGTGCACACACCCGCAGCCTTCTTCCGCCGCGCCAGCTGGGCCGCCCAGCTACGCGATGAGGAACGCCAGCCACCACGGCTCGTGGATGCCTCTACGAGTCGAGCAGAGATGAGATCAGAGGTCCACAGGCGAGGGCCCTGTACAGTGCCTGGACCGCCAGGACTCGTCGGCACACCAAACTCTGCCGTGCTTTGTGGGATGCTCTGAAGGCACTCCACAGGGATACTCTGCGGGATTCTCTGGACTTTGCGATGTGGGGACAGCACGCTCCAGGGATACTGTACACTGGGACCATCCTCTGGGTCGGCGTAAAGGAGACTCTGTGGGATTATCTGAGGGTGCGCACGCCAGAGATGCAGCATTGTCTTAGAAGAACGAATAACCAAAGATCTCATCTTGCACTCCCCGCCTCGCTGACTTCCTCGGCGATCTCGCCGATCTCGGCATCGCCGGCAGCGGCAAACAGGTCGGCCATGGAGGTGGACTCCTGGCTATGACGGCTATGATTCAGCATGCCCAAAACTCTAAAGGTCAGAAGGCCGAAGCCCAGACCTTAGCAAGAGAAAAAAGTGACCATCGCCAACGCAGCCTGATGGCTTTACTTCTGCATCACGGCGTGCTGCTACGTGCAGGGCACATTGGCTTCTATCCCTGGCCCACACATTGTCTTCGGTCAGTGTTGTGACCTCCACAAGTTCACACACGCCGGGTTCCGGTCCGGGTCAATCCCGGCTTCGCGCATGGCGCGAGCGATGACACTCTCGCCAAGCTCGACGTCCTGCAGCTAGGGCCAAGTCAGGCCGTTGCTGTGAGAGAGAGAGAGAGAGAGAGAGAGAGAAAGAGAGAGAGGGAGAGGGAGACGGAGACAGAGAGCAGAGAGACAGAGAGAGAGAGTGAGAGACAGAGAGAGAGAGAGAGAGAGAGAGACAAGTAGAGAGAGAGAGCGAGCGAGCGAATCTCATGCACGCCTTTGGGACAAACCGAAGAGCATGTTCCCATATAATATCCCGCGCAACCGCACGCCTCCAAGGGCTCTGCTGGCGGGGGCTCGACGTCGAGCTCTGAGGGAACCTCTCTTTATATCACGGACTTCTGGGTACGAAGTTTGGAGGCATTTAGGCAAGCCTTCACAGACTTACAGACTTACAGACACTTAACTAAGTGAAATTCTTCATTTGGCAGTCGGGTTGCAGCTTCCTCCACGGTCGCAGCTTCATTCTGCAACTGTGATGGGGAGCTTGCTGCGGGGGGAGCAGGCGGACTTGGGCTGGAAGATAGTAGCGCCACCATCTTCTCATTCCACAGCTCCTGTGACACGCATATTGAGCTGTAAGACTCGGAGCAAGTCCACGCCAGCCGTATACAACTTTGCCATGGCTCCTTCTCCCTCTCCATCTCCTGGGGGCATGAGATGTAGAGACACAAAAGTACAGTCTCGTGTTCGCCCATCTTACAACCAAGTCACGTCCAGGATGTCGTGAAAGCCTCAACTGAGCAATGCCAGAGGCAACGATCAAGGTGGCATGCCATCAGCTAGTTACCACGGATACCTACAGCACGGCGTGGGAGAAATGTGTGACAGTTCCGAGCGCACTGGCCAGGTGCCGCATCACATTGTCCCTCTCACAAAAAAACAAGTGTGCTTCCAAAGGGCTGCTGCGCCGCACCTCCTCTTGACCCAAGGCGTCATTCAGCAGGTCCAGAATGGCCTTAAAGCATGACAGGCATGTTCTTGTGATCTGAGACTGCCCGTCTTCCCCGTCATGTGTCATGCTGCAAACCTTCCACAGCCACAGCCAGGGCCGCTGCGGGGCTCGGGCAGCTTGGCGCCTCCGAAGAGGGCCCGCGGATCTCGGGAGACGCAGCCCGGGCCTGCGGCGGCTTGGCAGCCACAGCAGCCACAGTATTCGCGAGCTTGCGGCTCGGCTCTGACTTGGTGCCCAACTCCTGCGACAGGAGCGACGCCACAAGCAACCACATGGCCTTCCTGACAACCAAACCCAAACTTCGTCAAACTTCAAGCTCCCTTCGCATCTCACCTCTCGCAGCCAAGGGTCCTGAGAAGGAACCCCGGCCACGGTGCGAGCATGCTGAGAGCTGCTTCGGTCCCGATCTCGCGAGTCTCGGGAGCGGCGCGCTGAGGACACGCTGCTGCCACTGGCGCCCAAGTCCGGGCTCTGCCGATATCTCTCCCGAGCTGTCAGGGGCACAGGTGGCAAGCCTTGGTGGAGGTGTAAAAAAACATAAGGAACCAGAAGAAACAAGTCTTTCGCTGCAACTTTGTTGCCTCCTGGAAGCTGGTGGAGCCACCCTTTTGCCGCGGTGTCTGGGACTTCTCGGCTTGGACACGGCGCCCGGAGCTGCGCGCAGGGAGCTCTGCCGGCGGCCGTGGCGCAAAGCACGAGGCCGGAGGCGCCACCTCTCAGTCTCATTTGTGGGTCTTTTCGTACATCATCCCTTATCATCCTATATCATCCTACATCATCCTATATCATCCTATATCATCCTAGATCATCCTATATCATCCTATATCATCTTATCTCATCTTGTATCATCTTATCTCATCATACATCATCCCATATCATCATATATCGTATCCTATATCTGCGTGATAAGATATTACCTATGCCCGATCTCTGAACTACGGTTGCTTCCTCGCTTGGAGTCCCAGCTGTATTGCGCACCGGGAGACAACTGACCATACACCGCAGACCCCACTCAGCACCTCAGGGTAGGCACCACCCGTGCTGGTCTGGTCCGAGGTGGGGCTGTCTAAGGCAGCGTCCTGGTAGCCTCAGCTTGGGTCCCTACGGATGATTGCCCTGGAGAAGAAGGCAGGAAGGTGCAGCAGATGTCTAGATCACATTTGTTTGGGAGAGACATTCGCGCCATCAACAGAGACCGAAGATGTCTGGCGAAGAATGTCGTCTCACAGCCCTTACAACACTTGAGGAAGCGCAAGCTGGATCCATAACCCAAGCTTGTCCCGGCAGCTTCCCACTCGTCGCACTCCAGGCGCAGCTGGAGGTCGCGAGCGCGGCGTCAGCTTGCCGTCACCTTGCCACGTGAGAGCGTTCTTCATGGCTCCGAACCAAAAACAACCAAGGCACGCAAGTTGCAGGACTCAAGCTGTCAAGACTTGGCAAGAGACGTCAGAGTCAAGGGAAGCCCAAAAAACAGGGCTTCAGCCCCAGCCCTAAGCGCGCGGCACTTCATCCGAAGCTCCGGAAGCTCTTCGTTCCGCTCGGCACGTTCCGGATCGAGAGGCGACATGATTAGCTCGCAGAGTGGCGGCTCATGATTTCAGTGCAAGAGCATGGTTGCAGACATTGCTGGTGTCGTTTTTTCAAGTGGCTCGTTTCAGGGGGTGTGGGCCGGAGGGGGGGGGGGGGGCTCCACAAGGGGGTGCGCCGTGCCTAGCAGCTGACTAGGCTTTCCAGGTCTTTCTGCTTCTATCAGCCTGCTTTCCGAAGATACGAAGATGCACAGCCAAAATATTCCGGCCACGGACATGCTCGGAGACTAGAAGGAGCGCTACGGGCCAAAGCTACAACTTCTCATCTGCAGCCCCCACTCTGTACACCCTAGGGTGGGGTGGGTGGGGGGGGGTTGGGGGTTGGGGGTTGGGGGTGGGGGGTTTGGGGGTGGGTGGGGGGGGGGGGGGGGAAACGCCAAACTCTAAGAGGGAGGGGGGTGCCCTTGGCTCACGGCGCGGCCATGCTGCTCGCAGTTGCGACCTTCCAGAACATGCGACTCGCAGCTCAGACGACCAGAATTATGAAAATTATATGAAGACAAGCATCTGTTTATCTATCTATGTGTATTCCGAACGTATGAAAAATTTGTAGTTGCATGTGTACATATACATACACATCTACATCTACATCTACATATACATATACATATACATTTACATATACATATACGTATACATATACATATACATACATGACTTTTTGACATATGTCCATTGGCTTTAGTCGTTGGCGTTTTGCTTGTTTAGATTTTTCAAAATATTGGCTTTATCTATATGTATGTATATCTCATTCATAGATGTACTTCCATTCATGTTTACCTTGTTTCAAGGCAGCCTTGGCAACTGGGTACTGCTTACGGGTGTTTAGGGCGGCTGCCTACCTGTGGCGTGATCTCTGGCAGTGCAGAGATGAACGGCACCGGCGCATCAATGATGGCCTCCTGTGGAGAAGCCGTCGCCAAGCAGCTGCAAGCGATTCTGATTGCGACAACTCGGACGGACGGGACATGAATAGCACGGAGTGGCCAGGCCTGAAGGTATACTGGGCAGATCGGGAGAAGTAAGTGCTGCCAACCTTCAGCAAGCATCATCATCAGCAAGCAGCCTGTTTCTACTTAAGCTGCGACGGTCTCCCGCTAACTCCAGGATTGCCGAGAAACTGAAGGGCCACAGCAGTGAGCTCAGACCTTGGGCGGACCAGTATGTCAACAGCCACTCCATTCTTCGCCATTCCTACCATGGAATGCAGACTGAGAAGGCTGGGGAGTTCCCACTTCGTCATGAGCCCTGAAGTGCTTCCAGGCGGCCCAAGACCAACTTTGACCCCAGCTCCGGTGACTCGGACACCTGCCATTTGCACGTTGGGGATGCTTTTTGCAGTGTTCGATCCCTTCGTAGTTCAAGGTTCAGCCAGTGTCTCGTTTCGGCGCCACGTTAAGGGTCCGACCACCCCCGGCAAAGGGTTGAGGGTTTAGGGTTGCTGGCCAGAGGACCTGGTCATCACTACACTGGCCCTTGGTCGTAGAGTCTTTTTTGAAGTTCTGGCGTAAAGGAGTGGTCGCTGCCCCAAACCCTGGTCACAAACTTGGCCGCTGTTGGTACAAGTTGCTGCTTCATATGAGAACAGCAGCTGTGTGGCAAGCATGCTGACGGAAGATGAAGATTCAGAACGAGCAACTGTCAGAAGTCTCCAATCCAAGGTCAAAGGCGATACCAAGCCATCATCCCTCATCAAAAACATAGAGAAAGGCAATCTGAGCAGCGCAGTGTACGAGACCCACATTCAGATTCCTTATCAAAAGCCAGCCAGCTGCGGCACAAAGCTGCGTGCCGTCAGCATCGTGAAAGCAGGTCGGCAGCACCACAACCACCCGAAACTCCAGCAAAAGCGCCAAGACAATCTCCAGGATGGCCTAGCAGACTTATGGGAAATCTCATCAAGAACTTCGGCCAAAGCAAGGCCAACTTGCAAGCTGAAATCAAACACTTCGAGCAACACAGAAGGAGAGTGCAATATCTGCTCTCCAGGAGTGAAGCTTTAAGGGAACTGTGTGTTGGATTGCCCTACCGGATACAGTGGGACACGAGGGTATTGTTGCTGAGGGTGATGGATCTATCTGTAGCGCCACGAGGTCTTGTAATGATGCGAGCTTGGCTCGGGAACAGCGATTTGGCTCCAGAGACATCTTGACCTATCTTAAACCCAACTATGGTCGATGGCGCCGGCTGGGAAAACATGAAACGTGCAAGTTCTTCAGGAGTGGAGAGCCGTGGTCCGAATGCCACGATTTCCGCTCTCATCCCTCTCATGGGATGACGCAAGCTGGAGATGAGAGAGGTTACAGCCGGTGTGCCCGGACTGCGTCAAGCCCCCGGAGCCTGCAGTGTGAAGAGGCTGAAGAGGTCCGCTGCGGCCCACCTGAACCAAACCGCACTTTTTCAAACACTTGGCCAACATCCTTGCAGTATTTTGTTTACGTGTTGCTGGCAGTGGTGAATCCAGGCTTCAAGTCTGCTCAACTCTAGAAGCAAAGTCGGCCACAACAAAGTCTTGCTATTGGAGGATCTCAAGCATATTTCGTCCAAGCATTGGACTCCAGCAGCACTGTGGAGCGCAGTCGCAAATCCTCGGCAAAGGTTCTGGGAAGGTCCGTGGCCCTGCCCGCCAAGTCTACAGCAGGAGACACCCGTGTCCTCGTGGAACATGCTGCGAAATTGCCTGGCGGCCCACTCTTGCCTACTGACGCTAGAGGTGTTCCTAGGCCTCGGCTATGAAGGCTGAAGGCACCCAGAAAGGCTCTCAGGGAGGTGTAACCGTGTAAAGCCACACTGGCACTGCGGAGGGGTCCAAGCCTTCAAGCGGCAGCAGCGCTCAAGTTGCCTGATTGCTTTTTTCCGGGCGATGAGGGTCATAGTATGTCCTGCGTTTACACCATTCTGAAGCGCGCTGGTCGCATCTTCATTCCACAAGAGCCGGGTTTCCAGGTCCAGCGTCAAGAAAGACAGCCGAAGCTCGTAGCCACGCGATTGGAGCAAAAGGGCAATGGCGGCAGAGTTGTACAGCGCATCCTCTTCTCGAAAAGTCCACATGGCCAAAGCTATGGCATGCACAAAAGCAGGGTGCAAACGATCGCCGAGGGACTTGAGCACTTGCTCCTCTCGGCCATCCACATGGACGCGAAGTAAATCCAAGGTCTCGAAGTTACCCCAACTTACAGTGAGGATCTTGTCCAAAGTCGCCGTCACGCAGTTCGTTGCGTGGCCTACCGCAGCATCTGTCTGAGCAAAGTTCCACTCTGGGTTTCTGGTCTGACGGATCCTCTCTTTGGGCGCTAGGCGGCATGCACCTTCCCGATCTGACACAAAGCCCTGGTGGACAATCAGGCGATCGGCCAGCCCATTCCACGAAGCAGTGTGCCGTATGGCCTCTGCTGACTGCTGGTATGGCTCCACAGCCAAAGCAAGGGCCGCAGGCACAGACGTCAGGACATGGAATGTGCAGCCGCCGAGGGAAGCTCCGACCTCCACAAACCGAAAAGGGGATCCCATGGTCCGGGTGGGTATCTCTTCCAGAAGTTCTCGGAAAGCATCATCGCAGTGAAAATTTCTGAAACCTCGCACAGAATTGGCCTCCGAGAATGGTGCAGGTAGGAGACGTGTCCAGAAAGGATTGGGGCCCAGTGGCGTGTTCACCGCCGACCAGAGACGGCAATCTAGACGGTCCAACAGCGAGAAAAACAGGTGAGCGCCTCTGAACATGAAGTGATGCAACAGCCTGGAGGGCCTGCCGTCAGTCATACAAGCCAGGTTGAACTGGGCAGAGGCAAGCAACTGCCGGATCTGCAAGCCGACCGCATCATCCCAGGTAGGACTGGCCTGAAATCTGAGCTCGTCCACCTGCAAAATCTCTGATACAGCCCCAGGGAGTGTGCAAGGTGATGCCGGGCTTGGGAGGTCTAGTTGCATCGGCACGTCGGATGCCAACTCAAGTTCCAGCGCTTTCCACCACATGAGCTGGTGTTTTGGCAGGCGGCGCAGCTTCATTTCGCCGCCCAGCACCGGCAAGGCCCGATGCACTGCCTTGATGAAGCCCGTCGCACGGAAGAAGGGTGCAGAGGACCACGTGCCTGGATCAAAATGACGGACGAGGTTTCCGTCCAGCAGAAGCTTCTGCAAGTGGGATTCGCCCACACACAGCCAATGGCTAATCTCGCGCACCCGCGCCCGCCACTTTGAAGCGTTCGTTACGTTGAAGTGCCGGTGCTGCTGCAAGAGCCTGGGCACGAAGCCGTTCAGCAAATCTGCTGCTTCTCCTAAAACTGCCGCGCTTGCCAAGTCCGGGCACGACCGGTACGCACGCAATGCTGCAATGCTAGACGTGGACGAAGGCCGCATCCAAAATCCCGTCCAGGGCATTCGCTCATTCAGCTGGCCAAGTTTCCATCCACATGGGCTCGCAGTCTTGTAGGAAGTCATGTGCCCCACTTGCCATCACATGGCTGCACTCTCTCTGCTAAAGGTTCCTGAACTTGGTCGGCCGTGTCCAAGGGCTTGGTACTCAGCCTCGCCCTGAACGAACCTTCAACCTTCAACGTCGCAAACCATTTTAGCCATCGACCGCTCTAAAAAGATGCTCTTAAAACTCCCCAAGCATGAGCCGTTTGTGTGCCCAATCCTTTCAATTTGCTTGCAGTTCCTTTTTCTTGTCGCGCTGTGGGCTCCAGTCCTCTCATTCCGCACGCTGCCAGGTGACGACCTGGCCCGCAAGCAAGGTTGAATCGGCCCTACGCAAAGCTCAAGTGAACCGAGTGACATGATGTTGCTTACACAGCCAACAGCACCGTCGCCCGGAAAGTAAAGTGTAGGGCTGCTGTGATATGGGTCGCTGGCCTGACCCGCCAAGTCCAAGCCATCCGGTCCAAGCAGCGATGACAGCAGCCTAATCGTAATTGCGAAGCTCCAGTTAAACACGCAATATATCAGATCACACAGTATAAGACCGTATGATACGGTAAAGGTATACAGCAACAATATCTCATACAGAACGCAATTATACACACATGTGTGCGCGTCTGTATGTATGCATGTATGCATGTATGTGTATATGTGTATATGTATATGTATCATGTTGTGTTGTACATAGTGTGTAACATACATGTTTGCTGTATGGCTCAATACAAGACAGCTTGCGGGCAGGCACAACAGAGATACCAACAGGACCAAAGAGCCGCTTCGTCGAGGCAGCGCTCGCCTCCAAGCTGCGGAGTGGAGCTTTTAGGTTTTCGACTGTCACACTCGCACACCGCAGGCAAGACTTCCGTCAGAGTCGCAACTTTTTAAGTTTTAGGCTGGAAGAGGGTTCTTCAGCAGAGCCTAAAGCATCCTTTTTGCTGGCGTCGAGGGCTTGGCGGGGGGGAGCCCTTTTGCTTCATAAAGCGTTCCTTCTCAAATTCCTCCGATTCACACACCACGGCAGCGCAGTCTCCCAGATTGAAGAGTAAGAGCTTCTTCTCTTGGCGAAAGGCTACACTTACACTCGCGACAGTGCCGGAGAACGTCCCTGGTCGACGACAACTTGGCCTCTTCTGTCAGTTCTATTTGCAGCTGCTCCTCCACCGCATGGAAGGCATCCATGGCTGCCTGCTCCTTATCTTTTTGCAACAGCTTTGGGGCAAGCTTGGTGGCCTTGTCGCCTCGATGGCCATCAGAAACGGGAAGGCACTTGTGGGCCGCCATGTTGTCGTCGATTGCGGTTGCATCTTCTGTTCAACCCGGCCGCCTCCTTGTCCCTACCACCGCAATCCAACGTGCATACAACAACACAACAAGAACTTGGCATGTGCCGGGAGGCTGCACAAACCAAAGCTATGCGTGCTCTTCACATATGATTTTAAAAAACGATGTGGTACGTCAGACTTTCTCTGTGGATGAGCCTCCAAATTGAGCCACAACGTCCTGTGATCTTGAAGCTTATCCTGACCACTCCCATGTCCCAGAAACAGGCAGCCGAAACTGACAAATTTCTCTCAAGGCCTTTGCGTGCGAACCCTCTCCTGCCTCATCCCTCAACCGCAGCTCCGTCATCGTAGTCCCACAAATTCGCCCTCCGAAAGTGCCTTGGCAGAAGGCTGTCACGCTCTCCCTTGACCGCTGCGCGCCCTTCAGGGCTCTCGATGCTCTGAGGCACGATTCGACGCTCACACTCGCACCAGGGAGGCAGGGCTTAGGGTTCGGGAGGTTGACTCTGCTTTGGCCGGGTGACTGCCCAGGCTGCGAAGCAAAGCCTGCAGCTCCATGGGCAGCAGCCCGCCTGTGTGCATGGAGCCCAGGCCAGAACAGCCAGAACACAAGCTGCTGACAGGGTCACAGTCACTTTGCCGCAACATGCCCACACATGCCTGGCGTGGGAACGTTCCTTGGCTCTCAGCCCTCTCTCGACTGGCAAACTCCTAACCACCTTTGCAGGTGCAACCTGGGGGAAGAGTGGGAAAGAACCAGATGCTACAAGTCGAAAAGCGACATTGCGACATGACGGGCAAGCTGCTCAGAAAGGTTTTGTGAACCACGGCGCTCGCACACAGCACTTGGCAACAAATGCCCAAGCGAAAGGCATGCAGCGGAGGCTCTGTCTGCCACCGACCCCGCACCCACCAAGATTTCGCCAAGCAGCACGTGGGGGAAGACGGAGGGGTCCATGACATCCAGGTCAAGGTGTATGTGCAGAAGGCCAGCAGGTCCAACGACGTCTTTCAGGACCTGAGGAAAAAGGGGATGCAGAGGAGGGCGCAAGACCCGCCGAGTCGCCAAAAGCTAGGACCACTTCGTTCCCCCCCCCCGAGCACCTCTGGAAATTGCTCCGTTGACAGAAAGTCCCATGGCTTACATGACATGGGCGGTCATGATCGGCTACGTCATGAAGATGCTCAAACCCCGATGTCAAGCCCTACAGCCACTCTTATCTCTTCAGTGCAACTGGAACTCTGGCAACTTTGGCAACTTTAACAACCTGAACTTTCATACACCTTTGTGTGTTTCCATTCACTTTGGGGTTTCCCCACATCCAAACCAAAACTTACACCTGTGCGGGACGTCGGCGGCAAGGGCATCCTCGAGGTTGGCCTGCAGGTCCCGCGTGGTGACCCGCCTGACCTTGCCGCCAAGGCGCTGGCAAGGCCCTGAACCCTAAACCCAAACCAGAGGGCATATCTCTCCAGATATATATGTATATTGCCTATACATGTATTTACTTTTATAATTCAAGTATGCTTGTATGGGTTTTGGTCCTGAGGTCCCCCCGGGGTTGATTCATGGCGCCTTGTGGTCCTGGATGAACTGCTCCTCGGCGAGGTCTAGGTCCCGCACGCCTGCTTGCGGCGCTTGCTGCCATCGGCAACCAGAAACTGCAACTCGGATGGCCCTCACAGCCCTCTGAAAAATATTCCCAATGATTATTTATCCTCTTAAACCCCAGAAAAATATGAAGTATCCCAAGGGCCAACCTAGGAAACACCATCAATGCTTCTCGAAAGATTCAAGGTACAAGAATGCCGATGGCGCAACTGCACGAAGCCTGCCTAGCAGCATGAGGCGCTCGGGTCGCAGCACCTGAGGCTTCGGGGGATAGAAGGCTCTGGAAGATCCGCTGGTCAAGATGTAGAAATTCGGGAGTTTTTATTGGAAGGAAAACACCAAGACACAGCGCATGGCCCAGCGCAACAAAGCTTCCTCAGACAACAATCTTTACAGACCATCTGTCTGACGCCTGTGCGGATGGTAACTCGCGCAGGTCCCTGAAACAGATCTGCGCAACGTCCGGGTTCATCCACAACCCAAGAAACAAAATCCACAAACTAGCTTGCAAGACCTCTAGGCATCCCAGTACCACCCTGGATCCAAACACCCTCTCTCGGACCGGTGTTCCTCTAGAGGGGCATTCCCGTGCACCAGAGGACGCCAAACAGCTTCGAAACCCTGAAGAGGCCTCGAAGGGAGCCAGCAGCCCCTGGGGCCCTTCCCCCACAGCTGCCCGGAGGCTCATGCCTGGACATGCTTTCTTGGGATGTTGCGGCTTGGTTTGCTGATGCTTCCTTCTATGGTGGTGGTTCTGGGATCCTCTGGGAATTTGAAGCTCAGATGTTGGTCGCAGGTTTTAAGACATGGTCTATAGGGCTTTATGATTCTGACTCTACAGGCACGGTTCTTCAATCTCTTCACCCGAACTGCTCAAGCACGCCGGGAGCTCCATGAAAATGGCCAGAGGGTGACTCTGCCTCTCTCCAACACAAAGGGCTCTCGCATTCTCGCTGCGACTTCGGACCCACGACCCTTCCAAGAACTGGCCAAACACAAAAGAAAACAACAAAACTAAGGGTGGCAAAATGGGTCTGCAGGAAGACCTTAGGAGAACGACCTTGCATGTTGTGTTCAAGGGTGCGCAATATGTAGCAAGTGCTCCGCCTCTTTGTTCAAGTCACCGTGGGCATCCACATATGCCACGCACAGCTGAGGACCGTACCTTTCAGACACTCAAGTGAGATGGGTGGCTTCCGAAAAAATATCCCCAAGCCTGCCTGAACAGTTTCTTTGATGCCTATGAGTACAGCTTTCGAAGTGCTACTGGCTCGCGGGCGGGTCCCCATCTGCCCGCCTTTTGGCCAAGTACGATATGGGCGTCAGATCCACGGAGCAGTCGCCGCCGACTGTCCACACCTGCTTTGCAGCTTTGAACATCCTGGACGCTTCTGCCGCAGGGTCGTCTGAAGGAACAAAAGCCTCGCACCTGCGCGGGCTGCTCAGCTCTCAGAAGCTTGGATGCCGACGCGGCGACCTCGGAACGGACGCTTCCCCTTCTTCTGAAAGCTCTCGAAGTCTGGAAGTTCCCAAAATGCGTTTTGAACAAAAAAAATCTGACCCTTGCACCGAGGGTCCCTTCCCAGGCTGCGCCGGAACTTCACGGCTCCCAGTGCCTCGCCAGCCTCCGGCTCCGGCACATGGAGGCGGTGTAGGGGGACCCTGGGCACCACATTGGCTCTACCCTTCAGGCACCTTTAGGCCTTAGACTTTGGAGTCTTCAGGTAGTCTTCAGAGGTTCTTCTGAAAGATGCTGAAAGCCGCTCCGAGCTCCAAGGTCTTCTCCGAAATGCAAAGCCCTTTCTGGCTACCGCGGACCTTCCATGGCCTTCCTCCTTAACACCCCCGAAAGGTCCGGCAGAGGCTTCCGAGCAGCTCGGAAGGCAAAGTCTCACGCAACACCTCCTGGGCCAGCTCGGCACCTGCGAAGGCAGCGGCTCTGGCAGTAGCCCTGAGGATCCCTAAGCTGTTTACGGTCGTTTACACAGCCACCAGGAGTAGGTTGTGGGAATCGGCCAAGCAGACGACACACGAGTCTGGGCTGGGAGAAGAGGGAGGTCTCACAGAGAAGCTGGAGCTTTCTGCTATCGAACATTCTTCTGCCATGCTGGCGTGTGCTTGCCCAACTGCAGGAGCGCTATGGGGCACACGTGACTGCACGAGACTTCCGTTGTGCGGACTTCGTGCTGGATCCAGGATATGGCATTGCAAATGCTGTGGCTGACCTCAATTGCTGACAATGACTCAGAGTTGTTGAAGAGCACTTTCCCTCGACCCTACTAGCACCGTTGCGCGTGCAACACCCCGCGTTGGGCCAGCCCAGGCTGGCGCTTTGCTCCGTGCTGGGATCTGGGAACGCGCCTCGCAGCGCCTCCGCAGCCCCGGCAGCAAGCTCCCCAGCCCCAAGCCACTGCGGCACGGCAAGGCCCATAGCAGAACCTCCTGAAACAGGCTCTTCAGGGTCTACAACATGGGAACCAAGCCGCGTTGCCTTAGAACGACCGGTGTCATTGCATCGGCAGAGACGCACGCTTTCCAACCAAACCTTCATCCAATATGCCCAAGAAAGCAGACTTAGCCCTCAAGCAGCTCAAGCAGCTCAAGCAGCTCTAGGAGCTCAAGGAGCTCTCAAGGCTCAAGCACTTACAGCCATCCTCTGGAGGTGGCCAGAAGCCGCCTGGCCACTGTCGCCATGGCCCAGGCGCAGAAGTGCTCCAGGAAATGAGGGTTTATGTTTGCCCGACTAGTGGGCCTTGGGGACATAGCTGGGAACTCTGAATTGGGCTGCTCCGTCTGTCCCTTGCACTGGCGTAGCCCGAAGGCACGTGGAGTTGTCATTCGACGCAATTCTCGATGGCTCTGGCTCTGCAACGTCTACCAGTCCTGACAGCCTTTGTACTCTGTTTGATGGGACACATCTCTCTGATGTGATGAGAAAACAGGAGTTGGGCAGGCGCAAAAAACAAAAAAAACAAAAGAACCCGAACCATCCTGAACAAAAACCTGCCACCCAGGCGAGGGAGCCCCGAGAGTTTCGAGCCCTGAACCAGCCGGCAGCGCCGACTGCGGGGTGGATAGGAGAAGCTGTCGAGGCCTCAGCTGCTGGTGCAAGGCCACAGCTGCCTAGCCGAGCACAAAGCCCAAGGAATTGCATGGCCATAGCGACGACACAAACGATCCCAAGCCGCGAGCTCAGCTTGCCTCTTCTACCACTCACTTGGCGCAGCTCCTCTGCTCTGCTTCTCGGTCATTGCCACGGCAACCAGTGCAAGCACACAGCACGGACTCAACCAGTGCCTGACCCTGTCAAACCGTCCTCTTCAGTGTTGGAGCGACGGATTGATGAGCGCTGACTCCTCTTTGTGTCGACCAAACTCTCCACGGGGCTCCTGCGCGCCCAGACGCTGTTGACATGGCAGTCTTGCACACCGCTTTTTGGCCGGGAGTCAAGGCAAGTAAGTACGAAATTCTGCTAAAAGACATCTTCTGACAATCTGACACCCTCCATAAAGCCTCCCGAGAGTATATTCCGAGCTCCACGCCTGCCAGTGTCCTCGTTGAGGTCGCTAAGAGCTGCCTGGCCGGAAGGCCCCGTGGTTCAACAAAACACCACAATGACACCAATTCTGGCAACTTCCAGCTGCTCCTTACCACGACTAGGGTCGACAAAGATCAATGCTTGACTTCTGCCTCAAATCTGATGACTTCTGGGCTGCGACACTGTGCCAAACTCTTGACCTTTGAAGGGCTCAATTTTGATTCCAACCGCCAATTTGATCACTTTGAAAGTCAATTTGGTCGCTTTGGAAGATTTCCAATTTGGTTACCAAAGGTTCAAAGGTATGTGTTTTTGTTTCATTCCAACTTCATGACTGAAAGGAGTTCCCCCTGAGCCTGCAAGCCCTTCGTCGCCACTCTGTATTCACGCAGTAGAAAGGTTGGGTTGTGTTCATGGACCCAAGAGAAGGGGGATCACAACTTCCGGTCCTCGCCTCCACAGCTTTCGACGGCTCAGTGCGCGACCTGCGCGTCTCAGGGCGCAGCCGCGGAACCTCGGCAAGCATGGTGCCGGCGGGGGTAGGCAGTGGCCCGAAACAGCCTTTGGAGTTGCTAGGGCCTGGAAGCCCACGACCCCCTTTAGAGCATGTCGACAAACGTGTCTTGCAAGTAGGAACCTCAAACATGCCGTCTCTCAGACCTTGGTGCATGGGATCGCTCACACATTTCTACTGGCACGGCGAAGTCGTTGGAGTTGGCGGCAATCTTTGGCAATGTGGCGCCCAAGAGAGTGAGCAATGCCCTCTCTGTGCAGCCTCTTGCTGCTATGCTTTGTCCTGGACATCCGGTGAATCCACACACACCAGGTATGGGGATTGCTTGGATCTTGCCGTGCATTGTCTCGGGCCCTGCAAGAGCCCTCATTGGAAGCCGGCCAGTTCTGCCTTCTGTGGAACGAAAGTGGGCTTCCAACACAAGGCCCCTGAAAGACCCAGAGGGTGAAACTGTGAGAGCTACAGAGGCCCCCTGTGTGCGTGTGAAGCAATTCGCAGCCTCCCGTGCTTTCTTCTTTAAGTGCGTTGCCAGATGGCTCCATATGATGCCGTGAAGCTGCCCGGGGGGGCCCTTCAGAGTGAAGAGAAGTGCGCCTTCAGCTGCTTGATGAGCTCCTTGCTCTCGATGTGTTCCGGGTAGGCCTTCACAAAAAACAGCACCAATCAGCACAAGCTGCGAATCCCTGGGGCAAGAGGCGAATCCGGGCCTCAAGGGCTTTGTTGGCCAACTCGAAGCTATCCTGGAACTCACCGAGCTTGAAGGCCTCGGCGAGTCGTTGTCTCACGTGCCATGCACGGTCGTGCTGAAACCTACTTGTAACCTGCTGACATATCCCACAAGCAGCCACAGACCAGCCCAAGCTGCCAGGAGCCCTCCGTTGAACGCCGGCTCAAACAGGTGTGCGGCCAACCGCATGGCTGTGCCGAAATGTGCCTGTGGGTCAGGAAGCTCGCGTTCCGTGAATTCCCTGCCTACGAAGTGCTACAGCTTGCCATGATCATCTGTGATCTGCAGGCGGTCTCTCAAGCGCCGGTACCCGCCTGTGCTTGCTCGACGTTGCCCTGACACAGTGTGGGCTCAGACCCACAAAATACCAGCTTCAAACGACGCTCTTTTGGTGGCCAGCGGCTTGTGCTGCTGACGCGCCTTGCGCAGCTCCAGCACCCCGATGTTGTTGTAACTTTCGGCGTGGTTGGGGTCCACGGAAATGGCGATCTTGAAGGCTTGGTAAGCCAGGCCTCGAAAAGAGGCTTGAAGGTACAGGGCTCGGAAATCATGCTGGGCCTAAACTTGCCTAAACATCGCGCGCGATCACTTGTAGCCAACACCGCGCCTAGGTCGCCCACACCGATCGCTACCTGGCCAATGTTGTACCAAACGTCAGCCATGTTGTCATCGTCCGCCAGCATAAGTGCGCGCTCGAAGCAGCTGAGGGTTAGGTCATACTGCCCGGCATAGAAGCAGCAAAGCCCCATGTTGTTCCAAAGCTCCTGAGCCCACTTTGAGCGTCGCTTGGCACAGCTACTGTACTCTACGCTCTTTCCCCCAAAGCAATGCGCGCAAGTCGAGGCGCCGCACTGACGACGCCGTTCTGCAACATTCGGCGGTAGAATCGCAGAGCCAGCTCTGGTTGGTCGGTATAGAAGTGGTGGGAAGCCAAACATGCAATGGCTTCTGCATTCACGGCATCATACTGCAAGACCTTCCTGAGTCGGGGACGACGCACTCGAGATGCGGAACGCGACGCAGCGCAAGCACCCGCAGCACTTTTCAACCAATAAGCCCACAAGAAGAGCCAAGCATCTTGTAGAAGCTGACACCTCGAAGCAGCGCGTTCAGCATGTCGTAGGTCCGAGCCAAGCCAATGAGGATGTGGGTTTCCCCCACAAACTTCTCGGCAGCGCGCCCGTATTGGTCGAGAGCCGAGTTTGGCTGGTCCAGACCTGGGAACTGACACCCGCTTTTTCTTTGGCATCTCCTGTGCTGCTATTATAATATGTGCTCATATTAAACATGCTGCATGCCATCCTATGGTCTACCAATCCGGGCGGCGAAGGTAGACCTTGCAAAGCTCCAGGTGGGTTGTGATCATCTCCTCGTCCTTCAGCGCGCTCTTGAATTGCTTCTCGGCATCGCGAAGGAGACCTGAAGGGTCAGACGCCGGCCTTTTGCAATCGGCGGCCCTGCACCCCGGCCCGAAGCTGAACTTAAGGAACTTGAATTCAGAAAATCGCAAGCAGAAGATCTTCATATCCTATGCCAGCCCGATATTTCGAGGTGTGCGGTGCCCCTGGGACTTCAGCCCAAGGTGCCCAGCTGGTAGTAGGCCTTGCCGAGCCGCGCCTTCCACCACCAGTCCTGGCAATTGGTTTGCTTGACCATAGTATGCACAAGTATGGATTTTTATAACAGGAACAATGCTACGAAGAAGAATTAGAATGATAACAGTCATAAGAAGAGTAAGAACACTATGGCTCTCTTTTCGGTTGTTGGGCTTCTTGAGCTCTTCGGGGGTTCAGGGGCTTAGGGGTTTCATGAGAGGGGCGGTCGGGCAGCCGAGGTCAAGCCGGTCCTTGAAGTCGACAGCCTGTGTAGCTTCAGATGCCAACTCCTTGGCCGGCTGCTTCCGCAGGGCGGAGACTTCAACCCAACTCTCCATGCAGTGGACTGCAATATGTGCGCAAGCAAGTCTCCAAAGCCTTACGCGGATTGCGAGCATAGTACAGCCTCGCTTCAGCGGTGTGATGAAGCAGGCTGAAGTTATGCGTGCTCTCAAAGATTGCACCGAACCCTCGATAGCACAACACATCTCGATGCAACAACATGTTTGCTGCTATCTCACACTTCCTTGATGTGCCTCTATCTCTCTCTCTCTCTCTCTCGCTTCCTTGCTGTGCATGCAGCCTAGCTGCATGTAATCACACAGCGCCTTGGCAATGGCCGGGCGCTGCGCATACTTCTGCAAGTCCAGCGACTCTAACCTCACGAACTCGCCACCGTCCTCACCCGAAAATCAAGTGACCATGCCACTCTGATGGGAAAAAGAAGCACGAAAACGCGGCACACGTTCCCCCGGCTTCGCGTTGATTCAAGTGCACCGCTTGAGTCCTGATTTACCATCGACGCGGTGCCCAGCCGTATCAGCCGACCCATAGACGTTAGTGGCCTGCCAGCTTCAAGAAGGAACCAAAGATTTGACCGGATTGGGAAGCCATCTCAAGCGGCTCAAGCTCTACGACATAACTTCCAAGAACGCATTGACATGAATTTGGCATGTTTTGTGGCCAGCCTCGAGGTGCCGGGCCGATTCCCCTGCATCGCAGTGGTCACATCTCTCCCAGCTGAGGAGGATGTGGGGCGATTGGTCCCCGGGCGCGCAAAGCCCGTCAGCGGCCTTCCGCTTGCACTGACGGGGCGCACCACCTGGGTTGGGCCTCCGCCACTCTCCTGGGAGGCTCGCAGACTCCCTCCCCCCTTGCCCGGGAGGAGGAGAGGGAAGGAGGTTGAGGGCAATCAGGATTTAAATGGGGCGGAATGTTCGTCACCGTGAAGCACTCTGCCTAAATCGCCCAGCTGATTCATCAAGGCGGAGGCTCCGCCCGAAGGCTAATTGTTGCGGCTATTGCTGTCAACACGAGTTCTCCAAAGATGGTATTGAAAAAAGCTATAAACAGCTTGACGATCAGCACAGCCCCGTGTGGGTTGGTTGAACAAGATTCTGGTTTCTGTGATACTTTGTTCGGCGCGTGTCTTCCTCCTCCCCTGCTGCCCACGAAACGTGACCTGACTGAGCAGCTGGCTGCTCGGGTGAGAGGCCGGTTGAGCGACGTGCCAGGGCGCGGCGCCTGCAACGGCAAGCTTGTCATCGTTTCTTCTCCGCTGGTTGAACCTGAAATCTGTGCACAAAACTGCGAAATGCCCAGACTTGTCTTGCTGGACGTCTGCGAGGGAGCTCGGCCCTTGAAATTGCCTGTGCTACGGCATTCTCGTCCAAGAGCAGGTCGGCCACTCCCTCCTCGTCAATCCTTCAGCACAACATAGCACAAGGATCTGCAAGGCATAATTGGCGAGCCAGGCAGGGCAGAGGTTTGGGCAGAGGTTTGGGCAGAGGCTTGGGCACTTCACGTCACTTCGCAACGGATCAAAACCTTCCCCTGCCGGGTGGCTCCACGTCGTCGATCCATTGCTTGGAAGTGAGCGCCCTGCACTTCAGGAACCAGGCCGCCTGGTCCTTGGGGTTCCTCGGGCAGGCCCAACGTTCTGAGCGCAAAACAGGAGAGTCAGAGAATTCCTTGCCGAGGCTCTGCTCCAGAAGCTCTGTGCAGATGTCAACGCACTCATCCCATCTTCTCTGCCGGAAGCGGCTCACCGCTCTGAAGAAGGGATTCAGGGCTGTACCTTCCGGGGGCATCAAGCCGGCCTCACACAGGAGACGCACTGCTTTAGGTCTGTTGACACCCACCTGGGTCCCGGCTTGAGGAAGCCATGGGGTGACGCGGCCCTCTTTGAGGCCTTCTTGAGCAGAAGCAGCTTCGGGGGGCAGCTACAGGTTGAAGGAGCCCTCTTGCCACGAGCCATAACCGAAGAAGAAGAAGAAGAAGAAGAAGAAGAAGAAGAAGCTTCTGCAAAGAAGCTGCCATATTATGGTGCAAAGCAACCTCCATGCTCCTCTCCAAGAGGCCCCCGCGGCGCTGAAGAGCTGGTCGGCCACTCGCTGAAGGCGGTCGGGCTGAGGCCAAGGTGTCGGTTGCTTCGGTTCATCCGGTTCAAGGCTGGTGAATTCTTTTCAAGACATGGGATTCGCGATTCCTGCTCCCACACATCGACCGTACAACACCTTCGGGTCCCCCGACTTCCCCAAAAAGCCCACATCTCAGCGACCTCACCCTACGAGAGTTCTCAGGTCCGAGGCCTCCACCACAGGGCCCCCTGGCAGACATGCGCTTTCAAAGGGGTTTCGCTTAGAGCTCAAGGGTTGTCATGCTCTTTGAGGGCTAGGTTTTTGTTGCCACCTGCCTCATCTTGGCTGACCAGGGTTTCGAACTTCTACTCTCACCGACTCGGAGAAAGCCACATCAGGGGCTTTGGGGCCTTTGGTGGGGGCGGGGCTTGCGGCTGGCTTTTAACGGGGTTTGCAGCGACCTTCCACAGGCAATGGAACGCGGAAGTGGCATGGACTGCGGCCTTCCCTCGACAACTAGGCAAAGTCACAAGCTTCCAAGGCTTGGGAGCTTCGGGCCCTGAATATTCAAGTGTAGAAGTTCGTAGAATCGTAGAAGAGGTTCTGGAGGCCTTCTTCAGCTTCCGGAAGCTGTGCGGCCTGGTCACGGGGGTTGGCTGAGGGCTGAGGCAACGTGCACCACATCAGCTCCCAAAGGATCCGCAACGTAGGATTGCTTGGTGTCGGGTGACTTGCCCTAGGAGCGCGGATATGCCAAGAACTGACACGCGCTGGCCCACAATTTTTGGCATCTTCGCATCTTCACTTCGACTGTCCAGAAAGTCTCCCACTGTAGAGCTGCGCGCCGCCGATGTCCTGCAAAGCAGAAAGAAAGAACCTACGGCGGATGCGCGGCACAAAGATGCCATGCTTCGGAGCCTGTGACAGCATCCTCCGCAACAGGATCGCAGCATCTTCGAGCCGCTCTGCAACAGGCAGCCATGGCCGTCAGAATGCATCCATCGGCATCCGCTTTATTCAGTCGTGGGAACCTGAATCAGGTCGTCCTAGGCAGGTCCCGCCTCTTGCCTTGCGACCCAAACATTGTGATGCTCCCGCACATGTTCCTCAACGCAGGAGGGCAATCTCCCCTCGAGCCAAAAAAAGAACTCCGACCGCAGCGCACGTCGGCTATGCCTATGCGCATGTCAACTCTTGAGAAGAAAAACAGCGTGCTAGACACATTGCACCGCAATGCTGCAATGCTTGGAGGCTTCACAGGCTTTTTTTTTGGCATGCCCCTCGCGAAGCGCCACCTCTCGGAACTCATATCCACTGGCATCGTTCAGCTGCTGCACGAATTCCTCGAAGACCTTTGGGTCCTCGTGAAAGTTGGGCCACTCCAGGATCCGGGCGCGAACCCTACCTAAGTGTTGGGTTCTCTCTCTTGATTCAGGGTGGGGTCAAGGTGCTGCCCCTCCATGTGCAAAAGCATAGGAAGCAGGAAAGTCGGCATGAGTAAGGCCTGTACCATCCCAGGAGGGATCTTGCATCTTGTAGCTTTGCAGACCTGGCACAAAGATCTTCTCTGGAGCAGCAAAGGAAAGCGATGAAGCCCATCCATGCGCTGGGTGACACTGGGAGGCAGGCAGTAAAGGCGGCGGTTGCTCATGCAGAGACGTTGGTCACCATACTGCACCACCGTTAGCAGGAACCAGGGATCTCGGGGATCTTCCCTCCCTCGGAGGAGGCCACGGATTTTCGCCTCCCGCACTTTTGGCTCGCGGAGTCTACGTGGCACCATACGGGCACATGGAGGAGCACAGGGTACGTAAGGCCTCCAGCAACTGCCCACTGTGAAATCGGGCCTTGATGCTGCTTTGCCTTGGAGCTGGGAGAGGCTCAGAGGGATCCCTGCTGGGTTCAGGGAGCTCTGTACCCAAAGCTTCCGAGGCGCGTGAAGCGCAGCGCCTGGCAGTCCACCTGTGAAGTTGCTTCTTCGCACTGCTTCTCCGTTCTCAGGGGGGGGTGTGAATACCTCTGCTTTGAGTTGTGAGGGCTGTGTTCTTGCAATCCCTCATCCTTGCCTACCTTGTCGCACGAAACATGGCTGCGCTGCACACGGCGTGCATTCCACGGTTGGACTGACAGCGCAAGGTCGCAAAAACGGTGAGTGCTCATAACTCTCGGCTTCAAAACCGCAGACTGCTATGACCCAAGGTGGAACTAGCTCCGAAGGCTTCCGTGCGCAGCGTAAGGCGTGCTAAGCAACAATCAATCAGTCTGCACCCCTCCCTGAATCTCAAAAAACTCATCCCCTCCAACCCCTGAAGGCCCCCTTGTCCCCAAACAGCGCCAAATCAAAGCTCTGAAACTCCCCAGCACGTCCTCAAAGTGCCTCCAAACCTAATCGCTTCTGTGGACCGCCCCAACCTCGACCACTCGCCCGCCACCGAGGTGCCGGGCAGCACGGATTTGGGCCTCCACCGGGCTTCAGGCTTTCGATTCAACAAGCAAGGAGTCGACAGGAGATGAAGAACAAAATGACAGGACAAATTGTTTACATGATCGCTTCCAAAAAGGCTCCCGTCTGCAAATGGGGCTTAAGGCGCAGTCGCTCTGGCAGCAAGATGACTAACAGTTCAACAAGGTCGCCTCAAGGTTTGTATCCAAACCCTTCTGAACTGAGTCGCACTGAAGGGAGAAAGTGGGAGAAATTGAGACGGCCATGTTTGTGATAGATTCGGCTCTCACACTAGCACGCGCGGCGAGGATCTTGAGACGGTTCGGGGTTTGGATGTTTACTCATTGAGTTCCCGACATGGTAAATCCGGCGTGACTCGAAAAGAACAAGAGCCGGACGCTCAGCACCATACTAACAGTCCTTAATAGGGATTCTAGGAACCCTCATTATGACCCCTATTAAGCTAGTACAAGGGGGAAACATCCCAAGTCAAATCACTTCAAATCACCCACTATCCCCCCCCAAACCGTCTGAAGCCTGCACAGCCCTCGGCCGCAGCGCCAAGCGCGGCAATGCGGCCAGGAGCTCCGCAGAGGGCGCGGCCTCCAATGTTCATGTGCAAACACAAGGGCCGCAAGCCCCTGAATCTCTCACAAAGAAAGAAAAAACGAAGAATCAACAACAACAAAAACGAAACCCATCTGCTGAACCGGCAGGCCAGATGGGCTTGGGATCTGCCTTCTGGCTCCTCCTGGCTGATGCTTCTCTCCTCCTTCCATTCCCGCCTTCCTGCCTGCCTGCATTCCCTTCCATTCCATTCCCTGCCATTCCTTCCTTTCATTCCATTCCTTCTGTTCCTTCCATTCCACTCCTTTCCTTCCATTACATTCCATTCCTTCCAAACTTTCCATTCCTTCCCTTCCCTTCCCTTTCCTTCCCTTTCCTTCCCTTTCCTTCCCTTTCCTTCAAGTTCCTTCCCCTTTCCCTTTCCTTCCCTTCCTTCCCTTTCCTTCCCTTCCCTCCACTCCCCTCCCTTCCGTCCTTCACGTTTGTTTTCTTTCATTCGCGGCGCCTCCCGTCACACACTTTGAAACTTTGGCAAGTCCCGACGCGTCACGAAGTGCACACAGCAGAGAACGACTGAAGAGGAAACAGTCCCTCTCTTCTTCTTCTTCTTCTTCTTCTTCTTCTTCTTCTTCTTCTTCTTCTTCTTCTTCTTCTTCTTCTTCTTCTTCTTCTTCTTCTTCTTCTTCTTCTTCTTCTTCTTCTTCTTCTCCAGGGCTTGAAGAGCACACGCACGCAGGCATGCACTCTCCGCGCACGAGGCGCGCCCGGTCTGTGTCAGAGTCGGTGTGAGACATGTATACGCGTGCTGTTACTCCGGGGAAAACAGTCCCTCTCTCTCTCTCTCTCTCTCGCTCGCTCGCGAGCTCGCTAGAATGTTCATCACAGGCTCTGCTTCTAAAGACCGGGCCCCAAAAACCTTGCACCGGGCAAGGGACGTTTTCGAAAGTTCTGCGAATCAAAAGTTCAAAAGAAGGTCTTTCTCTCCCTCTCTCTCTGAAGAGCCAGGCTCTTAACTCTCAGAGCTCACTGTAAAGTTCAGCACAGAAGCGAGACACCCGACCCCATTGCGCATCTCTGCGCCTGCAGTGCTGCATCCAATGCGCGCTGTCCAGGGCGCACCTGGGGAAGCGGACCAGAACATAAATCCTACGGAAGTTTGTTCTCGAAGCTGCACTCGGGACATCTGACAAGAGATCGAGTGCAGCCCGCGCCACTGATGCATCTGCCATGGACGCATAGATGTTCAGCACCTGGCAAGCAGGCAGAGCACTGATACCACGTCCCTGAGCTGTTCCTATAAAATCCTGTGAAGATTTTTTCGGCTCAGGAGTCGCGCCCGGCCTTTTGCCAGCTGCAAGTGGCGGCCATCAGGGAGTCGAAGCTTGCCGCATCCAGGTCCAGCCCCAGAAGGCGGGAAGCAAGGCCCAGCTGCAGCGCCTGCTGCCAGCCACTTCCCTCCAACGAGGCCAAGGCGGCGTTGAAGGCTACGGTGCTCTTCTGAAGGCGAGCCGGCCCGAACCTCCACGGGGGACGCCGTCTAGAAATACACTTGGACGCAGCTGTCCAGCAGCCCCACAACAAGGGAGGTCGAAAGAGGAGCAAGGGATGAGGACAAAATACGGCTTGGCTTTACAGCGTTCTCTCTCTTTCTCTCTCTCTCTCTCTCTCGCGCGCGCTCGCGGCTCGTGCTCGCGCTCGCTCGTTCGCTCTCTCACGACTCGACTTGACCACCCTGTAATTTGCATTTCGACGTCGTGTGTAAGGCCGAGGCCCAAACAGGACGGCCCCTGCAAGTTGCCACGCATCCCTCATGGTGCTGATGGATGCTGTCATCCTGAGCCAACACGCAATATCTCCACACCCCCGCCCCCCGCCCCCAAATTTGAAGCAACGTTTTCTGCGTGCAGCTAAGATACATCATGCTGTCCGGTCTTGTGCTGCCGACTTGTGCGCTGCAAACGACACCGAGCGCTTGCTCCCAGATCCCGTGCAGCTGCAAGGCCTCTCAGAGTCTCGCTCTCGCACAGACACAGAGAGAGAGAGAGAGGGAGAGGGAGAGGGAGAGGGAGAGGGAGAGGGAGAGGGAAAGAGAAAGAGAGAGAGCCACGAGAGAAGTCACGAATAGCCACGAGTAGCTGCTCTCTCCGCTTGGTCTGCCACTGGATGAACTCCCGGCCAAGCTACGCTCAGCACACCAGTTCTCGCCACCAGGCCTGTCTGCCCTGAGCTGGCACTGCGAATCGCTGTGATGGTGCAGTTCATTAAATGCTCAATGCACCTTGCGCCTCCATGAGGACTGTACTCGTAGATACGGGGTTTCACTCATGTTCTGGCCGAGTCACGCGAACTGTCTGCCAGCAGGGCAGCCACTTCCCATCGCCCGCTCCTGCATCTCAAGTCCAAGGCTTGTCCAAGGCTTGTCGTGTGCCTGCTCTTTCCCTGCGTTTCCCCCTGTCTCGACCTCTTGAAAGTCTTCAGCGCAGCGCAGCTGTTCACCTCGTTGGGCTCAGCACCTGGTAAATAGCACACGACACGCTTGGACCGCTACGAAAAAAGAGTCATACTCGGAGCCCCTGCTGTGAATTCGGGCACCTCCAGCTTTCATCATGAGCAGCAGACTTAGGGCAGCCTCCCATCGGCCATCCTCAACAGTGAAGTGGCGCGGGGCTTTGCTAACTCTGCAACTGACAGGAACGTGTGCCATATCGTATTATAACATGCTGGGGGAACAGAATCCATCGCCGCGATGGAAGTGGAGAAGCTGATCTGGTCGGCCCGCAGAGCCGAGCAGCGCCTCAGAATGGCTTTGCCACGTGACGCACGCGTCCAGCATCCCAGGGCCCATGCAGCGACCCCGGTAATCCAGTCATGGATCAGCTCTTGCAGGAGCGCCAGCGATACCTGCCAGCAAGAACTCTGGCGGCATGCCTCAGCAAAGCATTTGCACCAAAGGCAGGCGCCAGGAAAGCAATGCACCGGCCCTCACAATTGCAGGAAAGCTGCATGCATGGCCACGTTGAAGACTAAAGTGTCTTTCGCAGCTGAAGTGTGGAGCATGAGGTCGAACAGGAGCAGGGCCAACTGCCACTCACCTGCGCAAAGCGAAACGAAAGCTGCAGGAAGTGACTCGAACACATTCTGCCCGGTTGTCAAGGGCCCAGGGGCTTGCCTGCTTGCAGGCAAGAACTCATGGAAGCACTGTGTGTGATGGTAGTGGGCTGAAGCCTGGCAGGGCACGATGATGGGCACACTTTTTAAGCATCCCAAAAAAGCCACGGGCACGCGCCTTTCACGCCTCATCTCATGAAACAGCCACAAAGCCCACTGCCATTGGCTGCTTGTTTTGCAAGCACTGATGCATGCGTTGTATGCCTCGGGAAGATCACGACTGCAAGAGATCGGGTCTGACTATGTTAGCTAGGAGGCATTGGTGGAGCGAGAAACCGAGTCCTGGCACGTTCTACATGCCAAGGCCCCCTCAGAATCCCTCCGACACTCATTAGACCATGAGACCTGTCTGCATTCGCATGGAGTCCTCCGGCATGCGGCTCCAGCAGGCCAGGGCCAGTCGCCAATTCGCCCCTGACTTGCAGGCATCAATGGCCGCATTGTGGCCTTGGGGAGTAGATCTCAATGGGCGCGTCTTCAGGCATATCATTTGCATGTCCATACATGTCGGCATCATCCACCGGACCACACTGTGAACCGGCCCACACAGCTTGAGACGAGCGGCTGACTACATCACGAACGACAGCCTTGGAAGGTGAGATGTTGACACGGCTACTTCCTGATCTGAGGAAGAACGGCTGACCCCTTGCCACAGTCGGTGAGACCTGCTTCGACATCCGCCGGGCGGCTGCTTCGGGCATGCCCGCGAAGAGTCCTACAGCCAGCTGCCAGCGCCGAGACCTCGCGCAGGCCGTGATGGCTGCATTGTAGGAAACAGTGTCCGGCCTCAGCTCTGGAACTCTCAGCACTCAAGAGCACCACAACTCCCTAACCACGTTGCCACTGCACCCTTTCACTTGCCGATGCCCACTCCCTCACTCCCTCACCATGACTATGGCCTTGCAGCACTGGCTGCAGTCCAGCTTCGTGAATTGCCGCGAAGACATATCAGCCAGGATTTGCATCGCATGTCGCCATCGTTTGCCTTTCCCGCACGCGGCGATGGCCATGTTGAAGCCTTGCCACTGGGTTCGACGATCTGGTGAGATGCCCAGACACCCATAGACAGAGCTCTGGAAGTTAGGGTCAAGCAAACCAAGCCCGGTAACATGATGTGTCCGGGGCATCACCTTGCTGCAGCATGTGCTGGAGTAGTGTCCTTACTCCACACACACATACACACACATACACACATACACATCCGTGGCAAAGGTTCCTTGGTCAGCCGAGCCACAGCACTTGTTGCCAGTCGCCAGCCCGCTTGGCTGTGTTGATGAGCTCCGGCCACTCCATGGTTTGGGCAGTGAGGTTCAGCATGGTTCCGGTGAGTTCCATCTCATTCCGACGCTTGACAGGCAAAGTGCTGCAGATGTTCACAGTTAGTTCACGGTTTCGCTTCTAATGTTAGCGTTGCCGGTGGCTTCGTTTCATCCTTCCTTCCAGTCGCGCAATGCTCTCTCTCTTTCCTTCTCCTCCCGTAGTTTTCTATGCTGAGGTCTCCTTGCTGCTTTTTGTCATTAGCCTCCTTCCCCGCCACTGAGCAATCCATGCCGAAAACCTTCCCCCTGCGGGCATGCTCCTGCGCCCCCCGTCTACCTGGGCACCTGCCAGTATAGTACATTGTTGGGTCGGGCCTACGGGCAGATGCTGCGCCTCACTCACGTGTTGCGGGTGTGCGGAAAGGCCCGAACATATAGTTCAGGGCTGTTGGGGTTTATAGGGTTATTATAAGGGTTTTTATGGGATTTGTAAAAGGGTTTATATGGGGTTTATACATTCAATGCGAGCTCTCCGGTCTCGAACATCCAGCTGCTTTTGGACACGGCCGACTCATTCCGCCGTGGAGGACCTGTACCCAGAAGTGGCAGAGAGCTCAGGAACCATCAGAACACAACAAGACTTGACATCGACATACCCCAGCACACGCCTTGTATAAACACCCAGTCTTGCAGAAGCCCCTACAACACCCAAGCATCGTATGGCCCAGGCTGCCTCAGAGGACAAGGCCGGCTCGCAGCCTCCCCAGGGTTTTGAGAAGAGTGTGGCTCGAGGCAATGCAGGGTAGAAATCTGATTCGGGGCTCGATGGTTTTACTTCTAGCATCCGCAGAGCAGTGCTTGCCTCTTGGGTACTTGGGTTTGAGAGTCAAGAAAATTAGCTCGCTGTGCCACGGCGGCACCTGTGCCGCGGCGGCACGCGCGCGCGCGCGCGCGCGCGCGCGCGCATGCGCAGGCACGATGTTTCCTGGGTGCCGGACTCTTTCTCCTACATCGGCGCCGGGCACATTTCAGATTACGAGCCATGAGCCTTTGGCGTTTTCGTCCGAAAGTTTTGGCCTCGCACAAGTGCCAAATCGTGATCTGGTCTTATGGTCCAAATCGCGCTGCCTAGGTCCCGTGCACCTTTTTTCAAGCTTACCTCGCCAGGGACACAAATTCTGAGCTCTTGGATGGGTCGGCTTCACGCGTCCATTCTGGCTTTACATGTGGTTCATATTGGAGTGTCTTGGCTCTTGGAAGGCTCCCGAGGTGGTCTTGGAATGCTTCTGATGTGGTCTTAAACTGTTTGGGGGCTTGGCCTCCTTACATGACATACTACGACAGAATTGACAGAAACACTCCATGCAGCGATGGTTCTTTTGCCGCGCAGAGCCACAATGCCACAGATGTCACGGTAGGCTGACAGGACGCTCCGAAGCCGCGTTTGCATGATCTCCTGCTCTTCAGAGCTGGCATCTTGGTTGTGGTCCGGGTGCAGCCTCATTGCCATGCGGCGGAAGGCCCCCTGGGCCTCGCCAAAGCTGCACCCAAGTTCAAGGCCGAGCACGGCCAGCGCGGGCTCAGCGCTTGGGTCTGCGATCACAAACTTCGAGCGCTGGGCAGCCTTGCTGGCCATGCCTGTCTTGGCAAAAAGCTCTTGTTCATCAGGGCTGGCATCGTTTGCGGGGCCGGCCTCTGTTTGCCCGGCAGATTTCACGGATCCACTGCTGAGGTTTCCCGCATGCCTGGCCACCGCGGAGTGCTCCCAGGTGCGGACATCACTGCCCGCGCTGGCGGCATGTTCTGAGGCCTTGCCATCCACTGTTCGCTCAACCCACCAGTTGCGCCACACGGGAAGCCAGCGTGCAACTGCCAAACCGGCCAAGGATGCGGCAGCCGCCACCGTGAAAGCGGCAGGTCCAGCGAGCACCGTCACTTCGGCCAAGTGGGCCACTGCCAAACTTCCCAAGAGCCCAGCTCCGAGGCCCAGAACTGCACCCTTGACCTCGGAATACGTCTGTTCTCCCGATACCTCCCTGTAGCGCCACCTACAAATCGCTTCAAGCGTCTGTCGCCATACTGGGTCGTGAAGACATACGCAGGCAGGTACATGGATCGCACATGGTACTCCAGCACATTGAAGCTAGAGATGGTGGTCCGCTGGACGTGGCTGCACCCAAAGTGCGTCCGGCGCAGCTCCTGCTCCGCCAGCTGTGTCAGCGCAGCCTCCATGCGAGCCATGGCTTCTGCCCTTGTGCCCTCCACTGTCATACGGAAGGGATCCAGGGTCGGCTCTTCCTTAATGTTCAGGGCTGCGGCGTTGAAGTGTACAGCTTGGGATGCAACGTGACCTTTGACGGCATCCAGGAGTCCTTCTGAATACCGGAAGTCTGAATAGATCTGCATGTTCGAATCTCCGCCTTTTCCATCAAAGCTCACTCGATCCAAGGAACCTCGCACCCAAACGTAGTCGGTATGCGATTGGGTTGTCGTCTTTCCATCACTTCCGGTGACGGAAAACGTTCGTGTGTACCCGACCTGGCCAGTGTACTTTGCACTTGCCACGGCATTCACTACCCGAAATGGCAGGAACACGGCACGCACGCCGCAGTCAGGCCGCCAGGCGACAAGAGCCGTTGAGTTGGCGGCCCCCTGTTCGCTGGACAAGGGTGCCATCCATCGGCCCTGCTCATGCTGTGCTAAGTACCTCAAAGCATCCTCCTCTCTCAGCTGGAAGGGCACCACGTGAAGCTTCGGAGCCTTTGGTCGCTTCTGCCTGCGCGTGGAGACACCACGCACTTGGCTGCTCCCAGAAGCCGTGTGACGCCAGTCGCGATGGGGCTCGGTGTCATTTTGGAATGCTGGAGGCCTCTTCGTGACAGGTGGAGACACAAGCCGAAAGCCCGCGCAGAGCGATCTGCAGTCACCACGATGTGCATTCGCAATGGAAGATTGCAGTCTTGCAGCTTTCTGCACCACCCTACCTCCAAAACTCATGAATGAGGGCATGCTGAGCATGAAAGGTCTCTGCGCAGGAGTTTGCAAAAAACACTCCATGCAACAGCGCCTACACCTGGGTCATCCGCAGGGGCAATGCTGCGATGCTGCTTGGACAAGAAGCCATGGTTAACGAGCCTGGGCAGCCGCGCATGCCGCGCGGCGTCATCGGTCAGGCGGGCCAGATCCTGCACTGCCGAGGCATGGCCCCATGCTTCGCAATTGCAATAACCCTCAGAGCCCTTCAGAAAGCCACTATCAGGCACTCATGCAGAAAACAACCGAAACCCTTCGTCCACGTAGCCTGCGCCTTCATGAGGCTCCCACCCCTCAGGTCGAAGCTATCTTTCCAACATGCGCTGCAGACGAAGCCCTGAAGTCATGCTTGAGAATCAGATGCAGCGCCGTAGGAGGGATCCTCAGACACGACCGCTGACCTCCCAACCTCCGAGCAATACCTACGCGGATGCTCCCTGGGGCGCTGCAGACAGATGCTTCTAGACAGTTGCCAGAAGCAGCCGCAAACAGGAGCGTGCACATCATGCGTAGCACCAGCATATGAATCAACGAGGCGAAGATGCGAGCGCATGTGAACGCCTGTAAATGAACCTGCACACGCATGTGAACGCCAGGTCTGCGGGGGAGCAAGGGATGACTTGACATGCCTTCGGCCCCAAGCCACCCAAGATAGCTATCACAGTGACAATCTGGGCCGGGACAGGTTGCTAGCTTTGTGCAACTCAAGGCCTACTTCGCCCCACGTCTCTCAGTCCATCTCGTTCACCGCCACCGAGAGGAAGGCACCTGCAGAAGTTCGGGGCAGCTGTTGGGGCTCGCCTCGCCTGTGATGCCAACTCGCCAGTTGGCATCACTGTACCCTGGCCGCGGACGAACGAACCGTTGTAAGGCCGTTTTGCAAATCGTAAGATGAGGAAGTGACGTACCGACAAACTCGAACAAACTGCCGCTTCTCCGACTCAGATGGGATGCTTGCAGGAAGCTCACATGCTTCTGGAGCTTGCTGGGGCACGAGACAGCGCAAGATAGTGCAAGTGACACGTTGGAGTCCGGGGCAGCGCCTTTTTTCTTCTTGCCCGGCATGGCCTCAGGCACAACTTCCGGCTTTCGATTCGCAGATCTTGGAGGGAAAAAAAAAAAGGGCACACATGCAGACGCCAGGCCCAGCAACCTTGCCCTTCTCGTCGACCAGCTTGAGGGTTCCTGGAGCCAAAACACAGACGCACACTGCAGTGCGAGGGGCCAAGGGCTTCTGGTGGAGAGACACAGTTTTTTGGCAAGAGCCGCCGTAGATGAAGCCGAGGAGCCCTTGAAGTCCTGGAGGATGTCCTAGGAGAGGCATCCATTCACTCGACGTGGAGGGCGCATGCAGAGCGCAGCAATGCGCAGCATGTGTCTCCATTTTTATCAGCCTAGGCGCGTCGAAGCGCAGCGTGCATTTCCCAAGGAAGTCATCGGACTTGCCTGGGTCTTCATCATACACGGTAAAGTCGAGCGAGTCCTCGGCTCATGCAGTTGCCATATCAGTGGCCCCCACGTCCTAACCGCCCTTTGCCTCTGCACCTGCGACTCCGGCAAGGGACCCCATGCTGAAGCTTGATCTTTTCCACATGGCTCCACTTGACTTCCTCCGCTCCTCAGGGCTCCATGGGGCTCCAAAGCCCTGGCAAACGTGTCTCCCGTTGCACAGCTGCTGCAAGCAAGTTCCCATGGAGATCCATGAAAAACACAGCCCAGGTGCGACTGTTCGAGAGCGTTGCCGTGCGGAACTCCCCGCTGCCCTGGCTGGCTCTGGGGTCATTGCGGCATCTGAAACTCGCGTCGTACAGTCATACACATGACAGGGATGGGACTGCGGCTTGTGCTTGGGCAGCCCTTTTTGTCAAGCCACTGCTCATGCCTTCTAGTCATCTCCCCGCAGCACAGAAAGATGAAAGGCTGAAGGACTACGTCGACTGCGCAGGCACTTTGGCATGCGGCTATTCTTCCGCTGCTGGTGGCAGGAAGTTTGTGGAGACCTTGGCGAACAGGTGCTCGCCATAGATGAGGGCTCCACCTTCGAGACCGCGTCGCAAGGGCACAGTGCTTGCCACCTGCGATTCCAAAAGATCCGCAGACTGCAAGTCTGGCACGTCCAGCGCCCGGATTACCTGCTCTTGCCAGGTCCACCGTCTTTGCTCAGGCTTTTTGCTGCAGCATGTCCTTCCAATTATGCGCTCGATTAATCCATGCTTGCCAAGCCACCGCGTCGAAATTCGGCTCATGGAAGTATGCGATGGAAGTCCTGCAATGCCAAGCACTGCACCTGCATATACCTGCATGCAATATCTTTCTCCGATGCGCTCTTCAATGCGAAACACTGCAAAGGCAAAGGCCGTCCGAAAATCTCGGGTCGTCTGGCGGACACGGTGCCGCGTAGCCACGTAGCGCCCTTTGGTCCACACACCTTGCGATTCTGTCTGTGACAGCCACAGAGTGACGTGCTAGAGGGCCCCTCGACCAAAACACTACGGGGTCATGGAGCAAAACCCTTTCAACAATCCCAGGTCAGAGCTGCCCTGACAGCACGTTGGACTTCACAACCACCTTACAAAATCTGCAAGACCAAACAAGGCTGGCAAAGCGAGAGGCTCAGCATATCACCCAAGTTGATGACGAAGGCCCCGGGTCGCGGTTGCACCTTTCGCCAGGTGCCATCCGGGTATCGCACCTCCAGGGCATCGGGCGTCTCATCCTGGCAAGGGGAATGTGACAAATGCTATACATACAGGACCCTTGCAGCAGAAAGGGGGGAGGTGCAGGGGTTCCGGATTGCCTGGCAAAGGATCGTCCAGCAGCCGTAGTCTGAGTGCTCACCGCAGGAGAGCCCGACCTCTGCTCCCTCCGCAAGTGCTGGGTAGCCGATCACACGAGCACACCAGAAGCTTTGGTTGGTGAGGGCCCGGAAATAGGATTCCGGCAAACTCAGGGCCACCGCCATCGCCTCCGGAAGACGCGAATCATGCTGCTCCACGCACTGCGCAGGCATATCTAGCCGAGCGGCATCCATCAAGCCATCGCCAACCCGGCGCATCTGCGCAAAGTAGGTTTCCGCGTGGCGCCGGAACCCAGCAGGCTTGTCCGGCCAGAGGTTGCGTCCGTGCACGAAGCCACGGACCTCCGCTAGCTTGCTCTCGTGCATATTTGCCGGCCACCCGGCAAATCTGCCCAGCTCCACCTTGTCGGGCCCAGGCTCCGCGTAGAAGTCAATGGCTTCATGCCAGTCGCGCTTTTGCAGCGTCACGTTCTCCCCCAACCTGCAGGGAGCTGGCGATGTCTGGGCGATATTCCTTCTGCGCAGCGTCTCACCCTTTGCGAGTAGGAAGCACACACACACAAACACACAAACACACCAGGCCTCTGGTAGCCACGGCCGGTCATGGACTGTGCTTCGAGAGCTATCGCCTCCTGAATTGCAAGTCTTCAAGAGGCCCAGCACTCACTCGTCATCAATGGACCACAGAGTAGACTCAGAGTAGAGACTGCTCCTTGGAAGCGGCCGGAAGGCTGAAGAACTCCTTCGCCAGGCCGTGCATTTGCTGCGGGCTTTCGGCTGGCACACCATGCCCCTCCAGGTAGAAGAACCCGACGTCACCTTGCAGCGCAGGCTCCATATCTCGGAGGTCTTCTCCGAATTCTAGGAAATCAAGCAAAACCCAAGATAACACTGCTGCACAACACAACATCATCCACAAGCCTTCACTCTCACCACGTCCTGGATCCCAAACCAGTGAGACGACGCACCATCAGTACCGGTGGCGACCCCAAACAGCATGAATGCAAAGACTTGGGAGGCACTACCCCCCAACCTTTGCTGTGTTTGGGAATTCTCACAAAAAAGAAGTAGGAACCCGAAAGAATGCGAGGCACGGCAGGCATCGTCCAGGCACCGCGCTGCTTCGGCGCGCAGGTGCGGACTGCCCGGATGACCCTGGTCTTCAGAACCATTGGGATGCACAGGCATGTGCAGGGGAACTTATAGTTAAGTGAAGCCAAAGAAAGGTACAGCTTAAGAGAATTCAGGAGTACCTGTGGTTGAGGGTCTATGGCCAAATGCATGACAGCTTCGTTCCAAGAAAGAAAATCCATTCAACATGAACTGGGCCTGCTCCAGGAAAGGTGCAAGATTGACCACCGGCAGCGAAGAGAACTTGCGGCTGGAGGTACCTCAGGGAATGAGGGGAAGCGAGGGAAGCAAGGAGGAATCCTGAGGACACCCTGATCGAAGGATGTTCCTTATTGTTTGTTAGTTTGCGCTGTTCTGTTTTGTTTTGTTTTTTGCTTTGTTTTGCTTTGCTTTTTTGTTTTGTTTGTTTCTTGTTCCTTTTTGGCCGTTGCAGCGAACACATGCGGGTGCCATCTTCGGGAAGCTTCCCCTACTGTGCTGCCCCCGCCTGCACGTAAAAGCCAATGGCAGGGCCGATGCAAGGCCGACATGGACGATGCAGGGCAGACTCACAAAGCTTCAGTCAGCATTGTAGTGTAGGGCTAAGGAACGGGGTCCAGGGGTTGGGGGGCAAAAGCACGGCAAAGGTGTGGTTTTTATCTGTTGCCAGTCCGCATGGAGGGTGTGCTTGAAGCATCGTGTAGCGGGCGCGGAATGCATAAGTGGAGCTGACCTCATGCATGCCCTCCTCAAAGCTCCGGAACAGCCGAATGTCCCTGAACATCCTGGCACAAGAACCTGCCAGGCATGCCTTGCCCGAGACGGTGCACTTCACATACGGGTCGGACGTGCCCGACAACCAATCCTGAGGTGTGAAAGTTGTGGAACTTTCACTGTGGTCTCGAAATGTCTCGAGGTTAGCATGATTCTTGATAATTGTTAGCAGCTCTCCTACGTTCTCTGGAAGAACCAGGATCCTCCAACTTTTCCTGCCGAGCCACCGCATCACGTAGCCCCTTGGCTGCCACCACAGTAATCTCCACCGTGTATTCCTGAACAGGTCAAGCCCTCCGCTTCAGGAAAGATGCCCAAATCGGTACATCCCAAATCCACCCCTTGTCAGCAAACCCTGGCAGAAACATCCTGGAGCATCCCCAAAAAGTTCCCTATTGAGCCCTTCGAAGGCCTCCTTTGGCTTGGCAGGCTCGGCCACCTGTGGACAAGAAGGAACACACAAAATACACACACACAACACAGAAAGTAGATGTTATTGACCATGAGTTGTTCCGAAGATAGACTATGTTCATTCATGATAGAGTTTCATAGACGAAGACAGCTTCGTGAATCTGTGAAGCAGGGGGACCAGAACCAGATTCGGCATGAAACACCCTCGGTTTCACTCGAAAATGCTGTTTTGCAAAGAGCCCAGTGCATGAACAACATGTCGAATGATGAGAGAAGCACCTACTAGCCTCTTTGCGCGTCGTCCCGGTCAGTGTGTGTGTACCCTTGTTTGACAGGCAGCTAGAAATCAGATGGCAGGTTGGGAATATGGCCTTGTAGCAGCGAACTGGGATTCTATCTGTGTAGGGGGTCTAACGGGCCAAGGGTGGCTTGGGCTTAGGGCTACGGTAGATTTCGGAGGCTCGGCCTGGAGAACCGCAAGAGCCCGAGCAAAGACAGCCCTCTCGAACCAAACTCCGCTGTCACGTCTTCAAAGCCGAAACCGCACCCATACTAACAAACAACTGCTTCGCTGCGGGGCACATGGCGCGCATCTCTCAGAGGTAGTCGGCAACAACAACGGATGCAACCGTGAGCTAGGACAGACTATGCCGAATGCCCTGTCGGTTGCATCCTTGTGCATTTCTGGGCTCTTGTGGCCGTGCCACGGAACTTAGCCGGGCGACTGGGTCTTGGGTCTGCCAGGGCACAGCAAAGAGCCGACTCGCCATTGTCCCTCAAAAAATCTGCGTCTTCCCCCTGACATGTACCCAAGCTGCAGTAAGAAAACACAGGTAAAGGGCCTGGGCAGATCATTGCTGCCGAAGCAGGTCGAGGACGCAGGGTGTCTACCAGCGTGATCATACGTCTACAGTAGAAGTCTTAGAGGAGTTCATAATTCAAACTCCACCGACTACACATTACACATGCCACTGCAAGGGGGGCCGCACGGGGCGACGCCCAATCGCGAGGCAGCTAGGCTTGCAAAAGCATGCTGCCTCAAGCGACTGTGGCAAGAGCTATTATTCAGTGGCCGCGCGGCACACAGTCGAATTCTACCGGAAAGCAGGAGTGCGTTGTGTAGTCAAAGATGCTCATGCGCAATAAGCTCCAGCTAGTTCCATCACACGGTGACGCACCCCTGAGAGAGCGTTCGACTCTTGGTCCGGTGGTCTGGTGGGCTAGCACGCCCGGCCAATTTTTGCGTGCATCGCTGGCTTGGAAGCCAAAAGAACCTCCAAAATGGGCTACAATTGGGTTACGAAGGTCCCTGAATCTCCAAGTACCCTTCTCACCGCGCACGAAGTCTCCCATGAGCCTCACCATCGCCAAGTGGAAGCCTTATCTAAATCGTTCGGAGTATTTCGGTAGTTTATTAATGTCGCCATTCAAAACCGTTTTGGATAAAAACTACAATATACACGCAGTCTGGACATTACAACAACCCTGGAAAAGATATACTTTCTAGGTATAAGTAGCTACAATAGGAACCCAGAACCAGAACAGTATAGTACTCCAAACCCAGACAATTATGCCTAATATGCAGTGCTAAGATTGCAGCGTGAGAAGCAATTCCAGGTTTCCTGCCGGAAGTCCGGGAGGCATTGAATCCTGCGGTAGGACTGGCAAGGGCTCTGGAATCACGTACGACTGCGCCTCTCGAATGCCTCTTGGCAAGGACTTGCGGGCATCTCGATGTGCCGCTTCTGGCTGCTGCGGGGCTGACATCCGTGGCTTATTCATCTTTGCTCTTTGGCTGCACCTCTTGCGCTGCGCGCGCGCTCGCGCGAGCGCCTGCTCCCGGAGCTGCTTGCTCTTCGAGAGGTGGGTAAGGTGGCAGTAGGCGCACTCACGATCTGCACGGCAGCCAATGAATGAGAAGCAGTAGAACGCGCAGGGCTTGCACTTGCTGGGATGTCCGGTGCTGCTTTTGCCATACGTGCGGAGATGCACTCCAGAGCCGTGCCTTCAGCAACGAGGGCTCATGGGACTCCCCACCTGAAAGCCAAAATCTCCTGCGGGTTTAGCCAACCAGTCATCTCGGGCAAAAAGGTGCCCGTTTTCTGCAGGCTTAACATGGCTTGCAAACAAACCTATACTTTACAACCTCCCCTAAACCCTGAACCCAGTCATTCTCAAGCCTTTTGCTCCAACCTCAACCCCGACATTCTTAAGACTCGACTCTCGTTTTGGCCCCTTGGCCCCTTAGTCCCCTGGCCTTGGCTTTGGCCTTGGGCTTGGGCGTGGGCCCAGCCCGAAGGGCCGGAGCTTCTGCCGGCGCGCCTCGAGAGCTCACGCCTATGTCGCACGTGTGTTTGGGGAGCCCATCAAAATTAGTTGACGAACATCGTCAAGGCCCACACCTTGACGTAAAGACCTGTCTGCAAGCCAAGGCACCAAACCTCCCTGCCTTTGCAACACCGCTTGGCGCCAGCGCTGCCCTGGGCACATGACAGCACGTGGATGTCGGGACAAAGAGAACTGGTTGTTTCCAACCAACTGCAGTCATGCCGTGACGCCGAGGTGCCGCTTTCGGTAGCCCAGTTCCTGCTTCCCGCAGGAAAAGATGCTAAAACAAACCAAGCGCTTCATGGAAACAAGGGCCTCGTCCAGCTCAACTACAAGAGGCACCCCGGGAAGGATTTCATATTCCAGCGCCTGCCGGATGCAAGTCGATCCGACGGATATGGCCCCAAGCCAGCCCAACTCCATACGGAAGCGCCTCCGCATCAGTGTCATCCTCAAGGGCCTGGCAAATGGCCTCAGGAAGGCCGTAAAGTATGAAGGAAGTCCACTTTTGTCCACCGCCGAATCCAAGTGCTTGCAATGACTTCGGGATTTTCTGCCCAGCGGCGCGGACGGAACCTTCATGTGCCACAACCAGTGGTGTTTTGCCACTCAGAATGCAAGGCGCGATTGCATCCTCAGGCCATCTCAGCACAAAGTGCATAAAGTGCCAGAACGCAGAAACAGCGCCAACTTTAAAGCCACGGATCGTGCCAGAAAGGAAGGGCGCGGCCAACAACCATCCTTTCAGCTCACTATTGCCCACTTAGCGCATGCCAACTGCACAAACCTGTCCAGTTGCTGCCCGAATCTGTCTGCCGAGGCACTGCATCGACTCAGAAGCAGGCTGCGCGCTCGACGGGACACCCCTGCCATTGCAACATTGGAATAGCGACAACCGTTCTCACTGATGCCTCCCGTGAAAAAACGATACTGACACTCCCTCGTCTAGAACACGTACATAGCAGGGCCTTCGTTGCAACTTGGCTCTCGTTTGTGGCAGTTGCTGCTTCAGCCACTGCCACTAAGAACTCGCAATTTGCAATACATTGTTCCAGTCCGTGCTGGAGATCGAGACACTAAGTAATGGTAAACCAACCGCATCTGGACGCCCACCCTGAGATGCTAGCCGGTCCTGTACAAGGAGTCGTTACAGGGATGCTCGGCGTCGGCACGTCCGACAGCTGGAGGGGCGACCTGGACGATTGCATCGTCAGGGATCACGGATGTTCGGAAGAACAGAACTGCTTGACACAGCGATGATCAACGAAGCACTTCGCCACGCACCTTGACGTCCACTCCCGCTGGCATTCCCTTGCCCTGGTACGCTCCCCAGTGGCGGTCGTTGAGCCGGAAGTGCTGGAAATGCCTTGGGCTGATACGCAAAAAAGGGGGGAGCTGAGCAGGCTCGACTTGAGTCTTGCTGCACTTCAAAAACTGGCTTCGCCATATGCCCTCTGCGAAGCAGCCTGGCTCTGAACAGAAAAGTGAAAGTCACCCGGCAGCCGAGCTGCGGCACGGCCACGCGATCGCCCTGCATCAGGGCCAACCATCCGGTGCAAATGGCCTCTTCAGGATTTGGAAAGGAAGAAGTGTTCATTGCTTTCACGGCTGCCTCTGTCAGAACTCTTGCCGCAGGGGCAAACCCTGCAGCGGCCTGTTTCTGAACAGAAGTGAACAGCACATCGAAGTTGAAACCGGCATCTGTCCTTGGTGAAGTGTTGGCTCATCCAAACTATATGGCAGCACTCTTCCGCAGAGTTGTAAAGACAAGCTGAAGACGAGTTGCAGGAGCTTGCCAGCCTCTGAAGACAGCTGATGTGTGAACCCTACCAGCATTTTCCAAAATCCCGCAGGCAGTAACCCCTGGCGTGCCTGCTGAGCTTGCTCTTTTCCTTTGGCGGTTAGCCCGTCTTGGGCCCAGCCAGTACACATGCCCTCGGCTGCCGCATGCTGCTGTGCATTGCCTTTTGTTTCAGATTCCGAACACTCTTCGCGGGTGCTGCGCCCAAGTCCGGCACATTTGCTTGCGACTCTGTCTCTGCACAGGGCAGCAAGACCTTGGAAGCTGTGAACGGAAAAGGGTGCGGATACAGCGCGCTACAGCATCACGATGGGCGACCAGAAACGTAAATGCAAACCAGGTGTTGCGGTCAAGCGGCCACCTTCCGCACTGCCATGGCCACTTTCGGACCAAACACAGATACGCAACTCTGAAGCCGAGACACCACACAAAGCAATCATGCGCATGCACGGGCGGAGAGTAGCCTGAAATACACAAAAATGCACCAAGACCACGCGATCAGCTTAAGTCTGAAGCCCTTAGCTGCGGCATAGCATGGTCCTCCTGACTGCCAAATGGGGGGAAGCCTCGTCGACAGGAGGCAAGTAGACGCCAAATCTTTGGGATACTGCAAGTATTCAGCGCGAGCAAAAACAACAGACTCCTGAGACAACCCCTGCATCTTGCAAGAGAGGGTCCATCCGAGGATTGCGATCGGGCAGTCAATGGCGCAGGCGACGTCACGCCATGGCACCGGGATAACTGAAAAAGGTTTGGATTCGATTTTTGGGTGCTGTTTGTTTGAGCGTGCGGCTTCCAAGCTGTGAAGCCGCTGGGGGAGGCTGGGAGCGTGGGGAGTAGCAGAGGCCCGGGTCGAGTCAGTAGGCAGATCCGGTGTGCTGCCTGCTCTCTGTAAGATCAAAGGCTCCAGCGGGAGGTGTCTCTGCGCACACACCTACATACAGTTACATACACCAAGCCCCACAAATTTGCTGCAGCCTCTCATTCGCCCATTCATCCCTGCAAAACATCGTGCAATATTCACACATACATACATATATATATATGTATATATTCCTTCACCGCTGCATTCCAGGGTTGGTGGCCAGGCCAGGCCTCGCCCACTTCGTCCAGCACCTTCCCGGGAATCAGAGAAGGCACACAGGGAAGCTGCATGGGGAAGATTGGACCAGGACCTCCACGCCGTCGTGCAACATCACCAGGAGCTGCCCAAAGGCTTCCACAAAGGGGTGGCGAGATACAATGCCTGAGGATCCCGCATGGCTGTTTCAAGCGACCCTAAGGCACAGGGCTTGCGTGGAAGATTAAAGCGCTCAATGTTGCTAAATCCTCGTGTTGCATCACTACTTCCGTGCGGCGTTCCTTGCGGCGTTCCTCCAGCGAAGCCCGGCTTGCAATCGCTTGCATCACTGGGTCTCCGACAGTATGCCAGGCAGCGCCCCCCCTGCGCCAGACTAAAGTGCCCCATGCCTATGGCCTGCGTACTCTGACGTGTGGGCAGCCTCAATGAAGCGAACTGCGGTGCAGTACAGGAAGTCCTGCGCAGGAGTTGCTCCAGTCTGGCCCGCCCTCAGCGACATCAAAGCCTGAAGCCTCACCGTTTCCTCTTTTCACCCTCGCTGTGCCGTCATCGATCTCCTCCAGAAGGCGGCGACTACATGCTGCGACCGAGCCTTCCGTTTGCAAATCCTGTCCTCGTCCTAGTACCCCAGGCCTGCGGTACTAGCTTACTAGGAAGCCCGTGCAGGCACCGTCGGTTCCCGACCGGCACCAGAAAAACGAGCCGCACAAATACATAGCATCAGCGGGTTAAGATTCAGGGCCTCTTTGGAAAAAACCGCATCTAGCAGACGAGACTCTTTAACTGCAGGAATGTCAGCACAGGCATCAAGAGCACACTGCCGGGAAGCTAAAAAGATGTTCAGGAGAGTCTCGAAGCGGTTGCAGACGTGGGTACGGAATGGCCAGGAGTGATACACATCAAAACATCCCCCCCCAATTCACAGCGACGGTACCGATACGAAGGAGTGAATGCAAAGGAGTGAAAATACATACTATTCAACCCTGCCATGTTGGGGCGCTGGTATGGTCAGGCTATAAACAAACTACTGCGGGCTCAAAGAACTAAAAGCAGGCAGATCCAGGGGGGTCACAGGTCCCAGGCATGCCTTCACAAACAGCCCGCAGGGTCCCCCGTCTCATCACATGTGCGAGAGGACCACATTGATCACTCATTGATCCACTGTCCCGAATGCTTTGGTAGCTTGGTGTCTTCAAAATCGTTCAAAGCCAGAACGCTTCGCTCTTGGGGCTCGTGGGCTCGCTGAGCTCATCCGGCTGGAGATCGTCAGGCAAGGTCGATGGTGTTGAGGTGTCCTTGGAGGTGTCCTTCCAGTCCTTCGGCTCGACCTGCGCGGGCAACGACAAGCCTGGAGGGGCCCCATAGTTGATGCCGGAGGCCGGGTAGTTCGTCACCGGGGCCACCTCCGCGCAAAGCCCTTTTGGCAAAGGTGGCATGGCGAGCGTGGGAACAACGAGCCCATCCAAGCTCTGCTTCAAATTGCGAGCAGGCGTGTATCCGTGCACGCGCCCCGACGTACTTCCCCAGGGGCCGATGTCACCGAAGGGGCTCAGAGGGCTGCAAGGGCTGCGAGGGCTCAGCGGAGCGGTCAGTGCACTGCGGGGGCTGAGAGGCGCCATCGGGCTGAGATTCCCGACCTGGTTGCAGAACATATCGACAGGAATGTCCATGCAGCAAGCTATCCCTCCGCTACACAGACCCAAATACGAAGTGCATTTTGGCAACTGCCCACCTTGATCTTCATGGGTTCCAGCTTGTCCTCGCGCTTCTCGGACTTGGGAACACTGCGCAGCTCTGCCTTGCCGTGGGCAAACTTGCAATCATCACCTTTCTTGCAGCGGCCCTTGGACGAGAACTGGAAGCAAAGGCGCGTGGCAACCAAGTCTGGCTGGTTGCGCAACTCAATCTCGGAGTGTGCAAAGTTGCAATCCTTGCCCAGCTTGCAACGGTTGGAGCTCCAATACTTGCAGATCCTGGTGTACTTCAGGGAGTCGCGAACCTGCGGTGTGCTCATTGCTTCGGAGTCAGCGAGGCGTCCTACACAAGCAAACACCAACCTCGAGACAAACTGCCAGACCGCCAATGAAGAGAAAGAGGGATGCAGCTCAAGTGTGCGCCGGCAGGACATGCGGAACGTGTCGTTCAATCAGGTACACCTGCTGCAGCCAGGAACCCAGTTGAGGCCGTTTTCCTGTCAGCCCGCGAGCCTGTACACTCCCATCGGGCCACACTTTGCAGTGTCACACGGCCTTGACAGCCCGAATGCCTCATGCATCCTCCGTCTCAGACGTGCAACAGTTCCTCGGGCCTAGGCCCACATGGATCTGCATAGATCTGCACAGCGTCAGCTGGGCCCGTGCTACAGTGGCCAACCACAAAAGAAGCGCACGAGTAGAAGACTAGCAGTGCTTGCTACGAGAGAAGAACGTTGGCCAGAGCCCATGAAAGGCGGCAGCTTGCCTGATGCTGATTCCTTAACCAACATGCGGCAGGTGGAAAAGCAGACCCATGATAACCAAAACAAAACGGTGGAGAACCAAAACAAAACGGTGGAGACTCAGCTCCCTGTCTTTGCAGTGTCCAAAAGTGGAGACACTGAGTGTCAGCGTCTCGCAGTTTGCTTCGAATGCTCTCCGTGCGATTAAACGTGAGCGCTGTCCATAGAAAGCCTTCACAAGAAAATACAGACATCTCTATTTATCTCGACCTCCACGCTGTACATGGGAGGGACCACTAGGAGCAGGTCGTGCGGCTCAGAGGCTCCGTGGGCTTGAGGGCCTTGAGGGCTCACTTGGCTCTGAGGCTGCTCGGCTCGGGCTGGCAGTGGAACATTCCGAATGCTCCACGTTGATCGCAAGATGGGACAGGCCGGGAGGTGGAGGCAGGCCCGGCGGGGCCCGGAACATCGAAACCTGCACGATCTTGCGTGGGGATGCCTCCGGGCTGGTCACTGAGAGGCTCAGCTTGCCGACCTGGATCTTCATTGGCTCCAACTCCTTACGCTTCTCGGTCTTGGGGACACTGCGCAGCTCTGCCTTGCCGTGGGCAAACTTGCAATCCTCGCCGTTCTTGCAGCGGCCCTTGGACGAGAACTGGAAGCAAAGGCGAGTGGCGACCAAGTCCGGCTGGTCCCGCAACTGAAGCTCGGAGTGTGCAAAGTTGCAGTCCTTGCCCATCTTGCAACGGTTGGAGCTCCAATACTTGCAGATCCTGGTGTACTTCAGGGAGTCGCGAACCTGAGGCGTGGTCATGGCTCTACCTTTCCCAGATTGGAGGAGTGCTCACTAGTGGCCTTGATTGAGACTCTCAACGTGGCTGCAGCAAGCCGTTTGCGTGCGAGATGGCAGGGCTCATTCTCCTACACTGTGTCAGAGCAGCTGTGGGATGCCCTGGGTCCTTTGATGTTGCACACAGCACCCACACAACTAAAGACATTCAACATTCACAGGAAATTCACAGAAACTCACATTGGCACAATTGCAAAACACTCGGTCCGTTGGGTCCGCACTCAGGTGGGACCGGCTTTCGGCCTGACGTTCCATGTACTTTATGAGGTTTCCTTCGACACAGTGGCGCGCCAGGACATATCCGCGCCTCGTCCTCCGGTGGAAGTACCGCCGCGAGCACGGTGAACGCAAAGGGCGTGCGCTCCTGGACCTCCAGCACGCTGCATTGGCGTATGCGCCCCGGGCACATGTTTTCGCTATTTGGCTGCGTGGACATACGTGTTCCCCGGACCGAAGCAGCCTGGGAGGTGCAACAGAAGGAGGCGATGCGCGAGTCCAGCCTCAAGGTGCGAACAGGATCAGCTGAGATGTGCAGCGAAATCACGGCGGACAACGATCTGACTCGCTGCAGTCGAGCGAATCTCCCTAATCTCCTAACCCGAAGTCTGAGCTCGAGGCATCGCCTGCATTTGCTTGGATCTGGCATCCTCTCGCCTGCGATTCGTTGCATCAAAATCGCATGTGAAAACGATCAATCCGGATATGCATGCCACGAGAGAAAGTGCAGACGCAGAGCGACACGCTCAGGATCTTTCAGGGCTGCTGCTGCCCAGACAACTGGTGCCTGTGGTGCCTGTGGTGCCTGTGGTGCCTGTGGTGCCTGTGGTGCCTGTGGTGCACTCTGCTCCGAATGCAGTGCTCCATGTTCAAGTCTAGCTAAAGCCTGCAGGTTCCATCTTGCAAGAGTCCGTGTGCCCAATGAAGTATCGGCTTGCGGGCGGTTTGCGACCCACCTGGCATGTGGCAACCGCTGCGCCACAGCTGGTGAGCCATCCTGCTGGGGCCAAAAAAACGGCTTGGGACTGTGAGGACCCTACGTGTGCCGACTTCGAGAGCTCGATTTGCACGACAATCGAAAGTCAAAAAGGAGAACGAGACCTTCTCTCGAGCCTCCAGCTCACAGGGCGAGGTCGGCGAGTTAATAACATAGAACAGCTCGATCAGTCGTCCTTCCCCAAGCAGATGTCTAGGCATACTAAGCATCAGCAAGCAACGATCCCTAGCTGTCCAAAGCTCTCCTTGCCCACACTTGAGGGTGCTGGCCCTCTTCGGAGCTTGCAGAAGGCCCCGCACCGGGACCTCAAACGAAAGCGTGTCACACTTTGCTCACGGGAAAGTGAAAGTGGCTAGAGAGGCTTGCTCTTCCGACTGGAGGATACTGGAGGCCAGGCGGCCACCGGGCTCAGGCCACGGCGGTGCGCGCACGCAGGCAGCGGCGAGGATGCTCCTCCAATCTGGCTCAATGAACCTAAGCCTCCCACAGCAGCGAAAGCCACCCCCTAGCTGCGCAAAACAAAAATCTACAAAAGTCCTCAGACGGCTCCGGTTCCGACCAGGGCCTCAGTCTCCCCCCCCAATCCCATTTCAGCACCAGTCCGAGGCCTCGGGTTTTCCCACAAGGTCTCTGATGAGGCCTCGGAGGCATCTCCCCTCTCTGTGAATTCCATAGAGAAGCCCCTGCAAAGACCTCTCAGTCTCCAAGACCTCTGCTTCTCACGGATGAGGACTTCCCCCAACTCCTACGCTACAGAACTTCCAGCCGACGCTGTGCACCTTGTAGTTCAAACGCCCATCTCCTACCATTCTCTACCATTCAAGCTAAAACTTTTCTGCGAGAGGTTGGTGCCTCCAAGAACTAGAATCCTGGGTCTTGTTGGCCCTTTGGGCCACACTCGACCGGTGAAACGAGCGCACCCAGCACAAGTCCGTCTCTGCGATGGGCACCGGATTTTGGGCACCACCACCAGCTTGAGTTTTGTCGCCATGTGAACCAATACTCCATGAAGCTTGTGGGGTCAACACTGCGTGCCGCACACTGCACGGCATTTGAAACTTCAGGAAAATCAGGAGTTTCACAGCCTGGCGCCTAGGATGGGCTTAAGCGGCTTCGGGCTCCCTGGCCCGAGCGGCCTTAGCGCACTGCCAGGTGAGAGCCAACTCCAAGGACCCCGAAGCGCCGGGATTGGCTTCTCGAGGCCCGTGACTTTGTGTGGACTTCAGCGACGTCGGCAAACTTCGGCATACTTCGGCATACTTCGGCTACTCGCGGTCCCCTCTGCCAAAGCGCGTCATGAGTACCCAAAACTAAAAAAACGAAGCGGATGCTCTTTGGCACACTGGACATTTGGCAAGCTGACAGGCACTAGACTCACTAGACAAAGCCCACCTCTGCCACCAGTTCTGGAAAGAGAATGGCCACAAGCCCTGATTTCTTTGCTTTGCCCACTCTGTCTGAATGTGTCTGAATGGGCTGCAGTCATAGGGAGAGTTGCACTTTGTCACCGACATCCTCAGCCGCGCCCTCCTCGCCTTGTCATGGAGACACGAGGGGAGAAGGCAGAGGCAAATGTAGAGACAAAAGCAGGCAACCAGCGGCAAAGAGCAACAGGCTGCGGCCTTCATCCACTGGCTGCAACGTCAAGCTGCCGCTCATAAGGCCCACTTCCGTGTTCGATTGGCTTCTTATTTGCCTGGTGCAAGACTGCCAACAATTCTACCGACTGAAAGTGGAGGTGTCGCTGCAACAGACCTACCTCACACCACTGCGGTTCACGATTTTCATGCATGACGATGACTAGTTCTTCGCGAGCTCTTTTGCAAGGCTTCACTGCGGCCAGTCCACAATCATGGCCGCCTGTCTTATACCTGGGATTCAACTATATACAGTGGCTGCTGCTGGTGCCGCCCATGGTATCTGACACCCACTGTAGGGGGCAAAGGGCACAGACTCCCAGGCATGTACAAAACCACATGAGATTCTGCCTACACTCCGTCATCTTTATACCGCCAGTCATCAAAGTTCTCCTCATCGTGCAGGGCATACTGCCCATACTGTCCAGGCGTAGCTTGCAAGTCCTCGTGGCCGAATGTCTGTCAACAAAACATATGGGATTTGTCTTCCACCGGAAGACAGTGGGATAAGGATTACTAAGAATACTACGTATCAGTTGCTGTCTCCGGGTGAATATAGAGACTTGAGGAAACAGGCTCCGTGGCCATCAGAGCTCACATGCAAGCAGTGCCTCAAGCTTGGCATTCTGTGGGGGCTGCCAATGCCTGCAATGGGCAAGGGGGTACTTGCCAACACCACCATCTCACAATTCAAGGAAAGCTGGGCTTTGAAATATTTCCACCTGCAGACCAACGGGCCTCCTTGTGTTCTAAGGTGATTCGCATGCCCTCCACATGGAGTGTTTGGCGCGCCATGTGCTGACCGTGCCTTGTCGTGAGCGTCGGAGCCCACCGAAGGCTCTCCTGCAGGGTGGCAAGCTAAGGGTCCCTGGAGATTGAGATTCGGACAACACGGAACTTTCACGATGGACAGGAAGGCAAGCATGTTCTCATACAGACATCCGCGCATGACAGTTGAAAGGTCCACCTGACTAGGAGGTGTCGGACCAGCGCAACAAGGGAGTAGGACGTAGTAGCAGAATCAAAGAGTGGAATCAGAGAGCAGAGTCCAAAACTCAGTGACAGCGAGGTCCGTGACCAGCAGCTGCTGCGAAGCTGGCTTCGGAGCCGCTCGATGGGGTGCCTCTGAATGCGTTTTGGCCACATGTTTTGGGAGATCATCCAACCCTGCCCATCCCTGCACTGATATAATATAATACACTATAATGTTATAATATAATATAATATAACATAACATAACATAATATAATATAATATAATATACTATAATATAATATAATATAATATAATATAATATATATATATATATACCTATATATATATATGTATATTTATACTTATATTTATTTGTATTTATGTTTATATTTATATTTGTATTTGTATTTATAAGTATATCTATGTTTATATTCATATATATATATATATATATATTTATTTATTTATTTATCTATATTTATTTATTTGTTTATACTTAAAATATAGAAGGAAACTCACCACACTTTTCCTCAAGCGGCCATTCTCGTAAGGAAAGGTGCTCCACTGTCTGCCAGCTTCTTCAGCCAGAGTTTGGGGATGAGAAGGTAAACCAACTTAGGTCTCACTTCAATGTTCAGCTGGCAGGGACAGCAGACAGAGGAGTACCGTGTGGGGTAGCTATCCCAACTGCAAGCCGACAGCTTACAGACATCATCAAAGTGTTCAGTTTCCTTACGTATTTGTCATTTATTTACAGTTTTATATACATATATATTAAAACCTATACATATGGCTGGTCCTCACTGCCCTCTGGCCTTGCGCTCCATCTGCTCGAGCTCTTCGTCTATCGGCGGAGCCATGCCAATCAGCTCCTCAGTGATTGTCATGATAATCACGAGACGTAAGGCGCTGTAGACCGCAAAGAAAGGAAAAATCAAGGAGACCTCTTTCCTTTTTGGCCATGCCACGTTCAAGACAGCCCTGTTGGTGCAAAAGTCTTCGTCGTCGTTGAAGCGCGAAGCCGCTGCGAGCATCTGCACCACCCCTGCCTGGCCGACCGGGAAGCCATATTTCGGAAGCACCTGCCATTTGAAAGCAGAGTACCACGAAGCACAGCTGCGAAAATAGGTGATGAATGACAGGAGGGCGATGCCTGCGGAGCTCAGCGTCGCGAAACATGCAGGTATTTCACACGCATAAAGAAGCACTACCGCTGCCGAGAGAGGGAAAGTCACTGGAGGATTGGAAAGGAACTTGCCCGCGACTCAAGGCTATTCAGGGTACCAGTGCTTGGAAGTGCTGTACGGCAAAGCCTTGTTCTGGACCGTTAGGAACAGCTTTGTGTGATCCTCCGTGTAGTTCTTGTACGCTTTGCCATGTATGGCTTCCAGCTCCGCGAGAGCCTTTGGGAGCGACATGCTTCGAAACTCACGAAACTCGTGGCCAAGTAGTCTTGCCACAGCCAGAGGGTGATCTAAATCCTTGCAGCCCTGGATAAGTTTGACCTCCAACGAAAGTGAGAGGAGGGAGAGAGAAAGAGAGGGAGAGAAAGAGAGAGAGGAAGCAGAGAGAGCGAGAGAGCAGAGCGAGAGACAGCGGAAGCAGAGAGCGAGAGAGCAAAGAGAAGAGAGACAGCAGAGAGAAGAGAGAGAAGAGAGAGCAGAGAAAGAGAGAGAGAGAAAGAGAGAGAAAGCAAAAAAGAGAGAGAGAGAGAGCAGCTCAGAGGAGCCACAGATGGACTCCAAGTGGCATCCTGGAAGCTCTTCTCCTTAAATCCCATGTACAGCTCGGCCTCGGCAAAAGGCGTTCGCGAACTTATGAGACCCCGAAGATCACTGCAAAAAAAGTGTTGTGCCGTTGCCTGCATGTCCTTGATCTCCTGCAAGGAGAGCTCCGGAGGCGGTGGCATCGCGGCACAGGGCCAAGTTCAGCCCGCAATTGCAAGGAACTTCTCTAAGCAGGTTGCTGCTACTTTGCTTCTTTGGCTTCCTTGACTGCAAGAGTTGCTTAGTCGGAAAGCAGCTCTGGCTTGCAGCAGTGGGTGTTGTTTCAGTTGAGGTCAGGTGTGAACCGACTTGGGCACAGACTACTGCGAAAGTGGCTCTTCTCAAGGGCAAAGCAAGCTCTTCTCAAGTCAAGGGCTATGAAGAGAAGACGAAGACAACACGCCGATATCGGAACACACAGCTCCAAACCCACCGAGCCGCACCTTGGCTCAATCCTCGGCAGGTTCAGGGATCCAAAAAAGGGCAAGGCTTCTTTTTTGTTTAAATTGGGGGTTTACAGTGGGGTTCCGGGTCGGAGCTCTTGGGGGCTTCCTTCCCTTTCGGAGTTCAACCCAGCACGTGTGCAAGGAAGTTCTTGTGGCGGTGGCTTTAGAGTCTCCTTACAGGTAGCTTTCAAGAGTGCATCCCTTACAGAAAGAACCCCCCTACGTGAACGACTGTGTTATTCAGTGATGGCTGCATCTTGGCGTTGCTCACCAATGTACCAACTCCACCATCAGTTCTTGTCACGCCTGCAAACTACCCGCACTTGGCCTAAAACCACTCAACCTCATCGCCTTTCGCGAGTGCATCGAAACCACGCTGAAACCCCCAACAGCTCGATTCGAAGAAACCGGCGCCGAGCGACTTGCGGGCCATGACCGTCGCGCTGCGCTCGCAGCTGACCTGGTGGAGCGTCTTTGTTTTGCCGCTGATAGCTATAGCTTCGAGGAGCCCCATAAGGCCCAAAGGCCTAGAGCAAAGCCCAAGAGCAAGGGACTGATGCCACTTGAACTCCCCAACCAGTCCCTGGCCATGAAAGCCCCCAAAGCTCCGAAGGAAACCTGAAAAATGCAGCAGTTTGTGGATCAACTTGAATTCGAGGGACCATCTCCTCCTCAGAGGTCGAGCGGGTCGAGCGATTGGGCGGATCGTTGCCCAGGGTTTGGTTTTGGCTGAGCATGACCTGACTCCGACGAGTGGCTCCGGGTCTAGGTCGCAGACAGGTCGTAAGGTATGGTTCAGGTTCTCAGGGCTTCTGACCCTCTAAGCTGTAAACTGTAAGCCTTTGCTTTGCTCCGTTGCTTTGCTGGTGCTACCAATATTTCCCTTTGTGTTCTGATTGCGGTAGATTCTGAGCCTGCATGCCCAATACAGTCCAATACACTCTTGCAGCTGTGCATGCACAACACAACCTCAGTCGACTGAATGTCGACCTTCTAGATCATGCTCGTTCACTCTGTGCACTGTGTTCATGTTCTGCACGCCATGATACGCGTAGCGTCATGCTCTTCACACATAAGCTGCATACTAGGTAGAGGCTCTGTTCGTCTATTGGGGGTGTGAACCACGCATATGCACAATAAACGCCCCGCCTTCTCATACGCTTGATCCATCTCGAGCTTTGCGATCTCGATCTCCTCCGTCCTTGTGGCAGCCACAAGATGTCACGGGGTGCCAAGGTTGGCACAGTCCGGTCCAGGCCGGCACCGCCAAGTTTTCTGCTAAGTGTCGACGGCGGCTTGTCAGCGTGAGAGTGGGCTCTCTCGATCATGTCCTCCTCCGACTCTTCTGACCTGCACGATGCCAAAGGAAGTTCTATCAGCAGACTCAAGAGAAAGGTCGAAAGGCGCCTGTTCGCCGCCAGTAGAAGCAAGGAGAAGGTCTTTCCTCCCTGAAAGGCGCGTTGTATGGCCTCGCACGAGTGAGTGAAATGGGTCGACTCTGCATAACTCCATTGACTCCAGTGTCCCGGCCTGTGTGTCCGCGTAGCCTGAAAAGGCTGACAAGGCTGACAGTTTCAGGACATGGCACGTGCACACCGTTAGCCACACTCTCACGCCTCTTGGCTCTCACTGCCTTACTGAGGATGTCTTGACTTTTCTGCGAATGCCTGGGAATGACCCAATGATGCGGCCAAGCAGCGCTTCATTTCCTGCAGCTCCGCACTCTGCTGGTTGGAGAAGATGGCGGCAATCGCCGCAACACCGGTCTCATCTTCCGCCGGATACCAACGAAGACTCGGACAACAAAAGCTGGATCAAGGGGTCAAAAGAGCAGCCTACAAACTTACAAAACGTCCGAGTCTAAAGGCCCCCCCCGACAGCAAGCTCACCCTGCCGATGCCAAGCCACTGGTGGCCGGTCCGCGGGTCTACTGTGTAGGGTGACCAACGCACACCAGAGCCTCAAGGCTCAACAACAGCTCCAAGAGTCCCAAGGTGCCATCCGCACCGAAAGGAAGGCAACACCCCTCGCTATGAGCATGAGCTTCTACTGCGACTCACTCCATCTTGTTTCCTGCAACATGGAAGATTTGATTTCCGGGATTTTTGCCGCCAGAACGCCAAGCTCCGAGGTAATCTGCAAGGAGTGCAGTGGCGGCGGTGGTTTCGTGCTCCTCTTTTGCAACGCATCTGCCTGAAGCTCCGGAAGCGCAGCGCTCGGGCATGTTTGTACAGCAGCCGCAGCAAAGTGAAGAATGATCAGCCAGGTCGCCGATAACCTGCCCACGTCTCTGCGCTTGACGAAGGCAGCACCCCAACCGCAATACTTCACCCACTCCTGAATACACACAGAAATGGACGGCAGGATTGGAAAAGAAGCCTGTGCAGTGCACATGTTAGTGGCGCCACCCGCACGATACTTGAGGGAATGGCCGACCGCCATTTCAAGCTAAAATTTTTCGCCCCAGGTGCAATGCAAACCTCAGGCTTGATCATTGAGCAGAAAGTATGCACCAAGTCCTGCCGAGACATGCCAAAGCAACTGGGAAATAAGGTACCTTTCAGGTGTGATACGTCTGGCGCGGATGTGCAGTGCCCGGCCTGGTGTGTGACTATGAGGAAGTTGAGTCGGGCATACCGACCCCTCTCCAGCCACTCCTCTATTGGGCCACGAGAGAGCTTGAATTGAACACGCCATGGAAAGGCGAAGCAACCGAGGATTTTGCAGGATTTCTGTCTCAAGGCTTCCCCTTCCTGACACCCAGCCAACTTAAACCCATGCTTTCTTTCCGCCGGCGAGGAACTGCAAAGCGGTAGAGGCCGCGAATGTGAGCCGAGCGCCGCTGCTCGGGGAAGGGAGGCGCGATCCCGACCTCTTGCCAAGGGAAGTTCAAAAGAGTCTTCCCTAGTTGACGTTACGGTTCTTACCTCTTATGCACTCATTCTGCCAAGGGTCTGCATGGCTTCATACGGCTTGCTGACTCTTGGGATGCAGGCTTGGTCTCACTGGAAGCCAAGCTCCAGGCAAACGAGGAGGCGTTGAGCTTCTCGATGCCTGGAGTTAAGCACCCAAGCTCCCTTTTTTTCGCACGACTACGTACTTCACTACCACCTATTCGCTTCCATCCACAGCTCTCAGTGCCCTCTTCTTCGGAGCTAGCCAGAAAAAAAAAAAGCAGCAAATGAAGACAAGCATGAACTCCCCTAACGACCGTCACTACTCATCCTCCATTCCCCTAGCAACCATCACCATCTTCCCGCCGCGGCCTTGCAGGTCTGGCAGCTCCGCAACCTCATCGAACGTGCGGCGCCGGCTGCAAAACTCCTGGTGCGCCTTGATCAGCCTCAACAGCAAGTCCCTGCAGGCCCCAGAAAAATAACAAGACATCACATAAAACACCAACTTCAGAAAATGCCTAAAGGAGCAGACTACAAACAACAGCAATGACACGGATTACGGTTTTGCGCAGGTTTTGAGTTTCGGGTGGACAGCTTAGGGCACCCCAAATAAGGGCCAACATGTTCTCAAGACCTGCAGGTCAGACCCCCCCTCTCATCGCCAAGAAGCCCAGGGTCGGTTATCCCTGGCGGCTTCTTGTAGAGACCCACCTCGGAACCAGAGACTCACGTCAGCAGCCACAAGTTAGGGCCCAAACTGACCCCGAACGCATACAGTTTCAACTCGGACCAGGCACCTCCGACACTTCAGCGTCGATGAGTATTGGCACCTGCGACGAGCACCAAGTGCGGCTCATGTGATTTGGAACCCCGGTCCAAACATGCTGGCAAATGCTGCAAAAGGGTCCCACCTTCTTGCCATTTCGCTGTGGCAGGACCTCGATGATTGCGGCCGCCGTCTGCACGCACCGATGAAAGGGTGAGGTGATCACCACATCAATCCTGGGTCTCTTGGTCTCTCGTCATGTCAAAATCGATCGAACTTGGCCCTAGAAGGCAACAACTCTGCAGCAGCAGGACACATCCTCACCCCTGCAGCCCACATGCTGCAAAGCATCGGCGTCCCTAGCTTGTTGCACAACTCAGTGAGCGTTTGCCCCTGGAACTTCGCCAGGCTCTTGCCTTCGGGCGATGCTACAATCGTAAACTTGCACATGCCGGCATACCTGTCGTGATGATGCAACGAGTAGAAATTCTTGGAGAAAAGGGCATCCGGCACGAACGGATCCCACAACATGCGTCAACATGACACCCTTTTCACCCACCTCGAGTTGTGATTGGTGGATCCATCGGAAAGCTGCGCGAGTCTGGATGCCTCTTGACGGCAGTGCATGGCCGACTGTGAAGTTGCTCTTAGACATGCAGGTGATGCTGCTCTCAAGTGCTGGCCGAGTGCTGGAACCACGCATCCTCATCTGCAAAATCTAGCCGCTCCGAATGCCCTCAGTGGATTCACTCACATCTTGCGAAGCTTGCCAAAGGCTCTGCAAACCCCAGCGGGGCATTTTGCAAGCTGCTCATCTGAGCATCGCATCTGGCTAAGCACATCGTTGAGAGCATCCTGCTCTTCCTACAGAAGCTCGAATGTTCCAACGTGTTCCACGTGCATGCTCTTGGCATCTCTTGGCTCGCAAGCATGTCTGATAGCTTTCGAGAGTGATTTGGAAAGATCAAGCCCCAAAAGAACTCACCATGCGTCAAGGCACGCATCACAACGAGCAGCTGTTGCCATGTTTTCTGGCTGCAGCCCATACCTTGGCCCACAGGGGCTGCACTCTGGCAGTATGGATTCAACGTCCCCCGGCGGAACGTCTTGCAATCGAGGCACAACATGCCATGAAAGACGCCGAGCAAGGGTGCGAACGGCGGACTAACTCGGGAGATGGTACCGAGAACTGAGTCAAAAGGTTTGGGACTAGTTGTCCTGGCTGCTCAGCCTTCGCGGGCTGACAGTGTGTTAACACTGTTAGCTAATCACCTGACCGACGTGCGCGCGAGCCACTGCCCAAAAAGAACGCATGCCGTCGACCTGCTGGAGCCAGGCAGCGCACTATGGTCGAGGCAATCAAGGCGCGGCTGATGGTACACTCTACACAGTCTCAATTCTGTCTCAACAAAACTCGTCCTACAGTATTTAGTCTTCAGTCATCCAGCGATGCCGAGGCAAATGCCCGGCCACCATCAGCGACATGTCCATGAAAGCTTGCACCCACGCCTCTTTGATGTCCTGGCACGGTTCATTCGGCTAACGACACGCAAAGCGTGCGCGCCGGGATGCGCCCCCCAAAGATGATGGACATGCAATGAACGGCGGGGCTCCTGGCAAGAGAGTGGCCAAACTTCGTCCGGCCAAGGTGCTGAAATGCCTGCAGGCAGATCCACGGTTTTTTTGTGGGAAAGCTCATCTCTCATGGCTATGACGGCACCTGGCAGACTCTCAGCTTCCGATTGCCTCAGACAACACAGGCCGTCTCCAAACCATCACGCGCGCCCTCTGTACATGCAGATGAAGGAAGTCGCATGTGGAAGGGAATCAAGCGTGGCCACAAGCCCTCAGGCTTGTTGGGGAGAGGATGAAGGACATGCACACTCAACAAATAAACAACGTAAAGCATCCCGTCTCATGAACACCAGCTCCCCGGCCAGTCAATCTGAGGCCATTACTGCGAGATGCGCGAGCACCTGTTCCATGCCACACTGACGCTTCAGGATGCTACCATCAGATCTCAGTGGCATTTACAGAGGACGTTGCTAGGCTCGCAGAACCAGAACCTCTTTTGGAGCTCACACTGATGTCATACGATGTCACAACAGCTGAGTGGTGAAACAACAGCCAGAGAAGCTGGCAGTTCTCAAGCCTCTCGAAACAAACGAAAACTCACACAAAGCAGCATGCGGTAGACCGCCGCCACAGTACAGGGCTGAGAAGTCATCTTGGAACAACTTCCAGCATTCATTGTGTTCTTCCTTCTGCCCGCCACTATGGGCGGGCGGAAGAGCTGACATCAGCTGTGCAACAAATTCCCCACCTTTTCGACCGTTGGCATGGCCTGCGCCAACTACATTCGATCGCCCCATAAGCCCATATCCTTAATCTTGAACCCTGAGTCGAACTCGAAAAAGCTGCAAGACCTCCGTGTCCTGCCTTCGGGTGCAGTCAGGCCAGTCAGGCCGCCTGCACACCAGCAATGCCCGCAGCAAAAAGGCATGACGTAGTCGTCAGCACAAGCCGAAGATTCGCAGCCCCACCTCCTCTGCCTCCTCTTCCACCGCTTCGTCGACCTCGGCCTCTGGTGGTGGAGGCGGCTCCTCAGACCCGTCGAGCGAAAAACAAATGGTCTATCAAGAATTGCGGGCGCTCTTTAGGGGAGAACTTTGTTGGCGGCCAAGTCCTGTGGTCCCATGGAGATCTGTCCAGGCTTCGCCTGCAGCTTTAGCGGGAACATGGACGCATCCCCTTTGTGAGCAAAGCCAGAAGCAAGCGCAGCAAGCACCGAATTCGCCGGATTCGGCCTCAAAGAGCTGCTTTGTCTGCTGCACGGGCTCTCCAGCGAGGCGCAGCCTCAGAGCGGAGAGGTGGGCCCACATCCGGGCACTCCCGCGCATGCGCCCCATACATCCCGGGCGACATGCAGAGGCGGCCAGGGCACACGACTCCGTAGGGCCATGCAGCCGCAATTTTCGGCTCGTTCTGCTGAAGCCAGGCATACCTCAAGATCAGACAAGGCGCGTGGCCCCTGATGCCATGCCCGTTAGCTGCTGTTGGCTGCTCACAGATTGCTGTGACATCTTCATGACGAGACACACTCGAGCTTGGAGCTCCTCTACGGGATCGGCGGACGATAGTTGGATCGGCCCAACAGGCACAGGGTTTCCACTGCCATCGTCGATCAGGATCCGAATCTTGCCACGCCGAATCCTCGGCAAACCCACACCGGTTCATCACAATGCGCCCCCTACACAAGTCCACCCTGTAACTTCTGCTATCTCGCGGGGGCATGCAAGAAGCAACCATGGAATCACCAAACCACACTAGGCGACACTAGTGCAAGCTGAAGCCCAGTTGCACGGCGGAATGAAACCATTTCACCAAAGCCACCAAAAACGATAACAAATCAGATGGGGTTCTGCATCTCCTCCAGTCGCAACTTCTCCATGCCAGCGAACTTCTCCCGCTGCGCTTGCAGGCTGTTTGACCACTTCGCCTGCTGCGCCCTGACGCCATCTGCCACGATCTCATCTACCTGGTACATTTCCGAGCTTCGTGCGCGCAAGTGATGTCAAGGCGTACCATGAAATGCGGCCTACAGTACCCATCCTACCCCAGGGTGACCTCTTGCTGCGCACGCTGGATTGCCGACACCTCCTGCTGCACCTGCTTGAAGAGACCCTGCATGAAGCTCCTGGACGATTCCGACAAAAGGGTATTGAATCATGCTGCGACTCGATGCAGGCCCGCGATGGAAAGCGGTGGCACAGGCCTCGCCTCTGAATCGCCAGGCCGCGGCTATCTGGGAAGGCCACCTCTTTGAGATCCTCCACAGCGTTGGGCACCAGGTTGGCCAGGTGCCCTTTCGCAGCGTTCACTGCCTGGATCCTGGGCTACCACAACCACAGCATTGCTTCATATTGCTTCACAAACAAATGGTTCGACAGTGCCATCTTGCCTGCATGGTCAGGATTGTTCAGGCCAAGGCTCTTCAGCAGCACACGAGCCTCGCGCTCCTTCTGCGCGCGCTGTGCTGCCATCACAGCTTCCTTCTGATGCCATCTCACCCACTCCTGTGGGACGGCGTACTGTGGTGAATACTCGGGCTGTCAGCTGCGCTGCACGCATCCTGAAGCTGAAGCAACTCTTGAGCAACCTGCCTCTTCGACCTGTTCCTGCCAGGCCGCCATCATGCTCTTCTGCCTCGCGCAGGCTACACTCGGGCATGCTTTGCGGGCAGAAAGAAGGTCATTGCCAGTGCCTTTCGTACCACGCCCCCTTGAAGCTGGTCATGGCTGAAAGCTCGTGCTCCTCCTCGACTTCCATGACCGACTGCTCCAGCGTCTTCATGACCTGAGGTCCCTACAAAGCAAACGCCAATCCAACCAACTTGGCACACCAACTTCACAGAAGATTAAAGGGAGGATGTCCGTGTTCACCGCCGCTCCTCCCACCCATTGCAGCTCTGCGGCGAGCACGTCTAAAATGGGCTCAACTTCCGCATCGAAGTCAAAGAGCTCGCCGTCCTCTATAGCAACACTGACCATATTCAAAATCATGACATTAACAAAATAACCATAGTGCTAATAGCTGCAATAGTAGTCATAATAGAAATCTTAAAAATACGGATAGTAACAACAGTAGATCACGGCCTCGGACATGTTTACAAACATGCCTTGATGCAGAACACCCCTTTTTGCACACGCATGTTGTGGCATGTAGCCTGAAGCCATGAAAAGTCGAGAACTGCTCCTTTTACTCTTCCCCGGGTCCTCAACCTGAGTGGAGGCATCAATGCCGGTCCTGTGCCAGATTCAAGGCCCGCGACCAGCGTTTAAACTCTGAGCTTGGTGCCTGCGACACTTCAAGCACTGTCAGGCTGACAGTCAGGTGCCTCTGCGGCTGGTACTGCTCGGGAGGCGGTTCGGGCAAGAACTCGTCCGTTTGGCACTCGACCACTTCCACCTCGTTCCAGGGCAGAAGGGAGAGAAGGAAGTATAAGGAAGTTCAAACCAACACGGCCCACGACTCCGCCTGCAAGGGCTCCTCCCGGGCCACGAGATGCTTCGTGAGGTCCACGGGGACGCGCTCGTGCTCGGGAAGGGGCATGTCAAACAGCGACTTCTCCTTGCTCAGTCAAGGCAAGCACTAGCCACAATGCAAAGCCCAAAGCTTGATGCATCTTGGTGCCTCAAACTGTGTGCTGCGTCGCTGCGGTTTCAGCGTGCCATGTGCTAACATCAAGCTGTCCTTAGGCTTCCGTTTTTTCGCCACCTTGGGCGAGACCTCCAGGAAAGTGCAGGCTTCAGAAGGCCAAACGCCATGCCGACCCGCCATACCCGCCCCCAAGTTCACCAGGGTCCCACCTGCGACTGCTGTGCGGCCTCGATGGCCTCATTCGACGAGCGAATCATTCGGGAACCAAAGCACGTAGTGATACGTAGTGGTGAACATTGCAAGCCTACAAAGCCCGTCGCCTCCTTGATCGCATTCTGGGTGTACATACTGTACGTGTTCCCTCGATGAACGCGCTTGTCCCAAGAGATGCACGTCTCCTTCACCTGGGCCACCGCCAGGAATGTGTCTGACGATCAGGGGAACTACGAAGTCAGCCAGTATTTTCGTAGCTAAGAATACAAATGCGGGTCGAGGCGCGCTACGATAGAGGCCCGAATCCACAGGACCTGGCTCCCGATACTTCTTCCGTGCTCCGACAGCCTTTGGAGCGGAGCTGAAGGAGTACGCGGAAGACGTCGTCTGCGCCATGTTCGTCGACATGGTAACCTGGCTCGTATCCCTCGCACCATGTCTAACTATGTGGGTGCTTCGAAGAGCAAGGGGAAGGGGAAAGACATCAAAACACACAAAGACACAACATTTTGGCGACAAGTCGAACATGCAAGGCTCTGGCCTTCTTTTTCCCTTGAGCTCAGCACCTTAGCAAGCTTGGCCAGAAACCGACAGAAATTTCCTGCGGACGCCTTTCACGCGCACGTGCTGCCAAAGTCACGTGCCAAAAGGGCGTGCTGGGCAAATCTCCTACTCACGGCTCCCAAATCGCAGCTCTCTTAGCTGCGGAATGGGGAGGGCCGAAAGCCGGCTGCAGAGATATACAAAATACCACACAACGGGCTGGAGCATACCTACGAAAACTCCATGCACATGAAGCCCTAGGAGCTCTAAGTGCCTTGTCAGCTGCCAAGCAAGCAAGCAAAAACAAGATGTTGTTCGAGGCCCACAAAAGGCCCGGATCACTCGGCTAAACACAAGAAGCTGCTGGGCACCTACGCAGAAGGGAAGAATAGCACCGCTTCAGGGAAGCCAGACGGGACCTCAGAGAGTCTCAGGGGGGTCTCACTGTCTCACTTTGGAGGCTCAGCGAATCTGATGGAGAAAAGGCGGACGCAACTCGAACGAGGGCCACACCAGAATGTTGTCTGCACAGATGTGGCAGAGACCTGGCCCTGTCGAGGCTTCTCAAAAACGTTCAGAAGTTGTTGCCCCTCAAGCCACTACAATTGCACATCACTCCGGGCACTCAGTGGCGCTCAGGCCCCAGCCACGGTGCCCAAGCTGGACCTGCTCATGCCCAGACCTGCTCAAAGGCGTAGCCCCTCCCCCGAGACACATGCCCTGGAGCCTACTTTGACCGCGGAAGTGCGCACGCTCGTCAAGCCAACATTCTTACTCCTGGAACTGACGGCTTCCTTCTGCCTCTATTCCTTGATGAGTCAGTACAAGACACAAGCCGGTGGAATATGCTCCTGTTCACTGTTTCACCTCCCCCAGTGTCCTCTCACGGCCGAACATTAAAAACTTCCACCGCTACTACCGGCAGAATGGTGCTCATGAGAACGAACAAATACAAGGGGTCAGGGCGGAGAGAAGAAAAAGGATGGCAGCAGCAAACGGAGCGAAAGGGGAAGCAGGCAATGGATGCATTTGTTTTGGGCCAGCATCAAGAATAATTCTACTTCGAACATCCCCACCCTCTCTTGGTAGAGATACTCTGGGGTTGGGCACTCCAGGGACACTCTGGGGCTGGGCACTCCGGGGAGAATCTGGGGTTGGGCTCTCCAAGCAGACTCTGCGGTTGGGCACTTCAGGGAAATTCTGGGGCTGGGCACTCGGGGACACTCTGGGGGTGGGCATTCCAGGGAGACTCTGGGGTTGGGCCTCTGGGTTGGGCACTTCAGGGACTTTGCACTCCAGGGAAGACTCTGGGCACTCCAGGAGTAGACCGGGCGAGGAGAAGAGTTTCGGACAAGGAAAAATTTCCGGGTGAGGAGAAGAGTTGAGTTTAAAATCTAACAACCCCACACCGAGGGTGTGGAAGAAAGGCAAACCCCCAGAGTCGCAACAAAAGCACATTTTCGGGGGTACCGGTGCAGGGCCCCTAATTTCAGCTGGGCCAAGACCCTGAGCTGGAAGAGAAGCACCGTGCCCAAGGAAAACTAGCCCGACTATAGCAATCACGAGTGTGGGCAAGAGTGCGGGCAAAAGTGCGGGCAAGGATTGTGAATTCAATTCCATGTAACACGAGCCCTTGACGTCATACTGTGAGCCACCGTGAATAACTGATGGGAACTTGCAAGGAAGATCTGCTCCATCATGAAAGATGCTCATGACGATCAGCCTGGTTGGTCTGCAAGCTTGGAAGCGCAAGAAGAAAAGGCCTGTACACACATGCACAGCTTCACCCGCATGTGCGCCGTTGCAGCTTTCCAGGCTAAGGAGCGAACTCCTTTTGAGCTGCTGAAAGCTAGCAGTGTCGGCAGCCTCTTCCTGCCAGTTTAAGAACGAACTGCCTGCACAGGCAACCCAGCATCCAGGCTCCTTGACTGGGGCATGAAGGAATGAAGCCATTCCTCTTGAAGGATGGTCCGCTGCCTAGCGCCGTGAAGAATGCTGATGGCATAGGTGGCTCACAAACCAAATGAGCTCAAACTCGCCTGAAAATGCGCAAGGCTGATCCCCCGGACACGACAGGATTCCCATCATCCAAGGCCTGCTGTGAGGAGCATTGTCCGCGCACAACATCACACAATACGAGCGAAGAACTGACAGAAAACAAGATCTTCACACGTGCTTCCGTCCTCGATGTCGGGCACGAGGCTCTTCTCCAAGCGCGCTCGCTCCAACAATTGCCTCCAATGCGATGTCTGCGGCTCAGCCTGGCACGCCAACTGTGGCGATGGGCACATGTGGACACAACTTTACAAATCATGTACGGCGCTCAGCACCACACGCCCATCCAGCAATGGGTCTTAGAGCTGCATGGGCGGGTCGCTCCGGCCCCGACATTTGAGCAGTAAGGCTGGTGAAGCCAAACCGATAGAACCAAAATTGACACTCTGCAACCACATTCGGCACAGAACTGTGCATGCATCGAGCAAGCTTTTCTGAGTCAGCCGATGCACTCAAGATCACTCAAAGACCTATGTAAACGGATCGTCAAACCTCAGAAGTGCCAAAGCGTGTGACCTTGTGGCATGTACGCCGCCACGAGCGCTCAGTGCTACGATTCTTCAGTCCAGCCGAATCCAAAGCTGTCATAACTCTGGGATTTCTTTTTGCTGGCGCCTGGCCCAACTCACGTTTCTCCAAATAGCTCCCCATTCGGTCACTCCAACAGGAAACGGTTTCGAATAGTTCTCTGGAGTGTTGCGATCTGCCAGTTGTGGGTCTACATACAAATACGGAATGTCCTTCCACTGCTTTCCCGAAAACATCCAGACAAACTCGCAGCCATCATTCCCGGCCTCAATGCCGTGCAAAGTTCCAGCAGGTATGTTCACATGCAAGCCCTCAAAGATGGCATGGCTTCTTTCGTTGGGAGTGAACTCGTGCAATTTGACAGACCCACTTCCCCGCAGGAAGAAATAGACTTCTCCGAAAGGTTCAGGATGGTAATGCGTGGGCAGCTGCTTGTACGGCCCCAGCCTCAGCACGCCGCCAGTCAGGCCCGTGGGACTGCTGCCATCTGCCTCTGCTCGGGTGAGCTCTTGCCATTCCAACTGCTGCCTTTCGCCCGTCTCCCTGTCAGCATGCATCGACTCCCAAAAGTTCCACTGACGCAAGCTGGAGGCCACAAAACTTTCAGAAGCCGTTGTGAGACTTACACCGGCACTTGCGATGCAGATGAATGTGAACATCCTGCTCCGGCCACTTCTTCCCGAAGACCACATGCTGGCTGCAGAGATGCTGAACATCATTAAAAACCCTGTTACGGCGTTGTTCACAACTTGTTAGCTACTGCCCACGCAATACTAGGCATAGAGATGCATGAAGAACACACGTATACATACATACATACATACATACATTCATACATACATTCATGCATGACAAAATACGTGTACAACCACATACTGGCCCGCATACCGGTTGGTTGAGCTGTAACATTCACACATTCGTGCGACAAAAACCGATATGAAAACACACCTTGAAGCCTGGCACGAATTTGGGCCACGGGGCCGTCATGGGCTAGTTCGGCGCGGCACAGTGAGCATGCTTTGAAAGCTTCACGGTTGTTTTTTCCAGATGTTCTGCGCAGTCAAATGTTTGCTGGCCCTCGCCATGCCAGAACCCATGGGCTTTTCAACCAAAAACTTACCCATTATCAATACTGCTCTAGCGCTGCAAACATGCCCTGCCAATTTGTGCGCATTTATCGCATTTGCCGGGATTGGAGCATTTTTGCATGGACTGAGCGTTGAGCTGTCTTGCTCCTTGAGAACGAATTGCTACGTCTGATTTGTCTACCGATGTTCAGTTGCGCACAGGTCACCCACAGCCGTGCGGGGATGCAGACGACGGCGCGGCAAGCAGAGGGCTTACCCCGAACTCACGCGGGCGGGCCACAGCGCCTGGCCGTGCTGGGGATGGAGGTTGGTGGACGATGGAACGCACAGGCGCTCCGTCGGCTGGACGCACTCCTGGGGCCGTCGTTCGGCACGACTTGGCCTTCGGCTCCGACTGCTTCCCTAGCCACGCGGAACCACGCCCGTTCGACCACTTTGGCCCGTCTGCCCAGCAGTCCTGTCCGGGGACAGGACAGGCCAGCGCATGGTCCCCCAGTGCGTCGACCACTTGGCCGCATCCCGGGTTTGGGCCGCACCGGTGTGGGCTCAGGGGCAGAGGCAGCCGCAGGCGACGGCGCAATGCCAGGAGCATGGCTTGTGGAGTCATGGTCGTGCTTGGCTGAAAGCCAAACCCCTGCTTGCGCCCCAGCCTGGGAGCCTGGCGGCAGAGCTGGCAACAGCAGTGTAGGCTGCGAGTCCGCGCCGCGTGAAACTGCCAGCCGTGTGGCCTGCATCCGTCGGGCGGGCGGGCCGCTCGCCTTCCAGAATCGCTTCCCAAGCGGGGCAGTTGTTCCACCCCTCTTCAATTAAGATCTTGCGGCATCCGCCTCGCAAAAGCATGGGGCCGCTTATTCTCCTTGTCCCAGCTTTCGGAGGTAGCTGTTCGCCCACTCCGGGAGGCGCATTTGGATCACGGGGAGCACGTCAGCCCAGGCTGCCCAGTAAGAAGCACCAACCGTCCGTGCGGCCGACTGCAACCGAGGCCCCCATGAGCCGCTGGAAGGGTGGCTATTTCCCGGGCGTGCGCTGCTTCCAGCGCCCCCACATGCCTGCAGAGTCTGCCAAATAGCCTCATCATGGGCATTTGGCGTAAGCGCTGGGATGGAGGCATGGTGCGGATGGCGTGGCTTCCCCGCGGGGGATGCGCACATGTGCAGGAGCAACCACGCGCACTGGAGGTCCGGCAGCTGCGGCAAATGGTCGAGCAGTTGCCGTTCCGTGCGCATGCGTTCGTCTGCCCATGAGCGGATGAAATCTGGATGGCAGGGCGAGCCCAAAACGACCACGCCTCGTTCGGTAGTTGGCTTCTCGGCCCGCCAGACATCGTCGCCGAGTTCGGCAATGCCCGGTGGTGGCATCGCCTCTCCCGCAGCCGCAGCCCGAACAGCCGGCAGCGCGCGTTGTGCGCGAAGGTGGACGAGATCCTGCTGGGGACTGTAGATGCCTCGACATGGTCGTTTACGGAACCACAGCCAGCGGGGGAGCGCTCCGTGCCCCTACGGCCTACGGCCGCATCGGCAGCCGACTCGCCCCAACGCCTCCGGCGAGGTCCAACACCCTGTCCAGGCTGGGCCGGTTCCCGGCCCCGCTTGCGGCAGGGCTTGGCCACGTGCGACCTAAGGCCATGCCCGCGATGGCCTGTTGGACTGCGACAGAGCTAATGCCTTGCCGGCCCTGGCACAAAGGGTATGGCGCGGGCCTTGCCGAGATTAGACGCTATGCCGCAATGCATCGCTACCTTCCTCAACAGTCGTGTCGAGCGCGGGCACGGCCTGGGTTGGTCACGACGTACAGGTCATCCAAGAAGGCTACGAGGTTGTCATGAGGGTGCAAAGGTGTGTAGTACAGGGAAGTCTTATGAACCAATTAGTGTTTTTGCCAAAAAAACGCTCCAAAATAGCTCTGAGCAAGAGGTGTGAAGAGAAGGTGTTCATTGCGGGAAAAAAACGCTTAACTTGGCTCCAAAACAGCACCTTCAACCTGAGTAAGGGGGTGTGAGGAGGTGTTCATTACGCTCAACTTGGCTCCAAAACAGCACCTTCAACCTGAGCAGGTCTATGGTTGTTTCAAAGCGGAAAAAACGCTCAACTTCGCTGCAAAACAGCCTTCTTGTTTCAAAAACAACCCATTAATGACTCAAAATGATTCAATAATGATTCAAGATGATTCAAAAATGATTCAAGAGATGACTCAATCATGACTCAAAATGATTCAATAATGACACAACAATGCAGGGTGGCAGTGGCAGGGCAGCAGTGGCAGGGCAGCAGTGGTGGCAGGGCAGCAGGACCGCGTTGTGTCCGCGTTGTGGGCGTTGTGACCGCGTTGTGACCGTAGTGACCGCGTTGTGACCGTAGTGACTGCGTTGTAACCACGTTGTGACCGCGTTGTGACCGTGTTGTGTTGTGACCGCGTTGTGCTGTGACCGCGTTGCGTCCGCGTTGTGCGTTGTGACTGCGTTGTGTTGTGACCGCATTGTGACCGCGTTGTGACCGCGTTGTGTTGTGACCGCGTTGTGACTAGTGACCGCGTGTTGTGACGCGTCGCAGACTTCGAGTGGACTTCAAAAAGACTGCAGTCTTTGCCGTAAAAACTGCAGTCTTCACCGTAAAAGACTCCATAAAGACTGAGTGTATCACCGAGTCTCTGCAGCGAGTGCTGCTTATGCATTACACTGCAGTTTGCAGCGTTTTTACGATTCGCCACTGTTCTTCGCGACGCTGCAACAATGCTGATCAGGCGGGATGGTGGCAGAACAGACAGGGCAGCGGGAGTGGCCAGGCGGGAGTGCAGAGCAGCAGCAGTGGCCAAGCAGCAGTGGCCAAGCAGCAGTGGCTGTGGCAGGGCAGGGCTGGCAGGGCAGCAGTGGAGTGGCAGGGCAGCTGTGCAGAGTGGGCAGGGCAGGGCAGGCAGTTAAGGACAGGAGTGGCAGAGCAGCAGTGGCAGCAGTGGAAGGGCAGCAGTGGCAAGGCAGGGTCGCCACTAGGTCGCCACTGGGTCGCCACAGGGTCACCACAGGGTCGCCACTGGGCCGCCACTGGGTCGCCACTATGATTCCGCGGCTCGCTCGGCTTGATTCCGGGGTTCGCTCGGTTTGATTCCGGGGCTCACTCGGTTTGTTTCCGGGGCTCGCCCGGTTTTGCATCAGGGCTGCCGATCGCCTGCGTCGCTGAGTGCATCGTTCTCAGGGTGAGGGACCAGCTCGACGAGGAATTGGAAAACCTAGTGTCAGCAACGTGTTGTTGTGTTCTTCACGCCGTGTGGTTTGCAGTGCTTTTACGATTCGCCTCTGTTCGTCGCGATGCTGCTGTAACGGTCACTACGTGTCAAACAAGCTCGATTGCAAGATCCGCGCGTTACGACGGAAGATGTGAGGCGCGTCATGGCTTGATCGAGAGGACCGCCCCCAACCGCTCACTACGGGTCACTACGGGTCACTACGGGTCACTACGGGTGGGAAAAGATTGGATCCATCGGGCGGATGCGTGTCACAGCGTAAAAAGTTCTATCTTGTGTTTCTAATCCTATTCAAAATCTGTATTCTCAGATTTGATGTTTCAGTTTTGTTTGCTAGTTTTGTTGCGGCTAACTGCTGGTTAGCCTCAATGCCGTTGAGTGGCGAATCCTTCCTGTTTTGCTCGCGGTCGCTTGCCTCTGGTCGCCGTAGCTGTCTGTGTGAGACACTGGTCAGTGACAAGGGCCATAGCGATGAGTGGTGTCAGACTGCAGTGCAAAGCAGTGCGCCCTTCATCGTTGACGCTGCACCCGCTTATCTTTCAGCAGCGGCTTATGTTTCCTTGCGCATGCAAAAGGCTCAAGACAACAAAGGATGCAGATTATTTAAGCAGCCAGCTGGACAAGCAGCCTAACATAGAACTGGTGTGGCCTCGAAGTAGAGATCGTTCACTATTTGCTGCACGTTCGAAGCACGTCACTTGCAAACATGGACGATTTGCATCATGCACGTCGCAAGGTTGACGAGTCAAACCCAGAGCCCGCACAGCTGCGAGCACGGATTCTCCAATTTCATTCACGAATCAGCCAGAAAAATCACGTTAACAAGTAAGACTCAAAGTTGAAGAATGGCAGGGCTGGACAACACTTGCACAAAATTACTGTCATGCTTGAAGCGTTCCACATCATGCTGGCAGGTGAGTACTGGCTGAGCAATGCAACGCAAGCGCTCTTCCCCCAGATTTCTTCAAATGGATTGATCGCGTCTGTGCACTTAAGCACGACCAAGAGCGCCTCTGTGAAGCTGCTTTTGACCAGCACTGGCCTCTGTGTCGTTGGTCCTGTACCCGTGGCACGCCCCGCTTGACTTGAAAACTTGAACGCCGTAGCCTGCTCAAGGAATGTGAGCGTTGAACTGCTGTCTGCTAATCCTGGAAGTCAAGCAAAGCTGCAGCGCAAAAACGTCAGTGATGCTGCTGCTACCTCAGCCGAGAAACTCACACAACAAGGACGGATGCAAGTTCGCAGCGCTCAAACTCCGGCGCTGAGGCACACGCGCGCAACTTAAACATCGTCCGCTGGTGGCAGCGTGAACCCATAGCAATCTGCCCTGCGAGCGGGGCGGTGGCAAAACCCCTAAGCTGAAAAGTCATGCCAGTCCTTGTCCTGCGAAGTCACGCTGAGACGCGGCACAGGGAGGAGAGTGGGATTGACATGAAAAGCTCTCCTTCAGGCTGTGAATTACAATTTCATCTGCATCGCACGTCACTCGATTTGGCTTCTTCTTCTTGATAGCCTCAAGCAGTGCTCAGCAAGGGCTCGCTGGAAAATGAAAGCTCAGTTCCGCTACAGGACTTGTTGCCTACAAGACATGCGCACTCAAAACCTCAATCTTTGTCATCGTCCTATTGCAATCAGTTCGGACAGGATGAGCGAAGTTCGGCTTGAGGTCAGCACTTCCTTCAGGTATGCCTGACAGCATTCAAGCCAAGACGCACAGCATCTGATCAAGCTTCGAGTTCACACAAAGACGGAGCGCGATCAAAATACGTTCAACAAATACATGTCTGGAGTGCAATGTTTTGCGGCACCGGGTCGATTGGAATAGCATTGCCCACGAGCTGGAAGCCACCATTGTCGTCCTGCAAGGTCAGGGAGCCAGGGCACCGCAGGACATGTACAACATGTACAAATTGGCAGGCGGAACATGAACTTTGGGACACTCAAAACTTCAATCTTGGTCATCGCCTTCTTTTGCAACCGAAGACAGCACGAGCTGAATCCGCGTGCAAGCTCTAAGCACAGGGCTTTCTTCAGGTCATCCACTTTTTTTTATTCCGAGTTGCAAACGTCCGCGGGCCTTAGAAAAGGACCCGCGCCGGGCTTCACGCGTGGGCCGAAAGCCTATACATCCTCAACATCAAAGATGAAAGGAGGAACGGGGACACGGTCCCGGTCTGTACCTAGGTGCGCCTCAAGACGCAAGGAAGATTTCACAGCAATCCGAATCATAGCCTGCTCATTTTGAGTAGCATGTTCAAAAGCTCGGTGCCAGGAGGCACGGGCCGACCCATGATGCCGCCTTTGGCACAGCGACTTAGCAGCATCGTCAGCCTGTTGGTTGAGTTGTCGACACATCGCCGAAGGCACAGGGCAGCATGACGGAGGAGACCAGGAGGCCTGCTTCCCGTGGCTGGGGACCCAGATGAGGGACCACTCAATCCCCCGAAGTCTTGCAAGCTTGCCATTGGCCTGGAGGCGTTCTGCCAAAAGGCGCAGTCCACACGAATGAGGGCGACACATCGCCTTGATTGCAGCTTGACAATCAACGAGCACCCAAAGTTTACGAGGAGGCGAATGAACTTCAACCAGGTCATCCACTTGACGTCACCCACCAAAAGCGTGGAGAACCACTCATAAACGCAAAGAACGCACTGAGGCAATTGCGTGAGTGGAGCCAAGGAACGTTCCGAAAAAATCAACTCCGCAGTTCTGTTTTCGAGAATGCACTGCTTTCAACTGATTTGTTTCCATCGGAATCCTCCTTGGGCCTCAGCTTTCCTGTGACCGTCCCTTGCGAGTCGAGCGGTGCCGCAGACATGAACTGACAGCTTTGCAGAAACACTCCCAGCAAGGAACAGCCGAAATGCCCTCAGCCCCGAACCGCCTCCCGAAGCTCCTCCCCTGCCCGCGATCGGACGTGCCCCCCAATCTCCGCTCTTTGCCGACGATGCAAGCGTCCAACAGCCGTGCCCCAACCCAGGATTCAGCTACTGAATGCTACTGATGCGGTCGAGACAGCGTGCCATCCTTCCTTGCGTTTCAGTTCCGGACATTTGCTCTCACACAGCACAGTCCTTTCGGATCAGCTCTCGCACCCAGACGATGGATTCCGTCGTGCGTGCAGAGCCTCACAGAATTGCGAGTGTGGAGTGAAAGTGTGAGGTGTGATTCGCTCCTCTACGCTCTTATTGAACTCATCTCTGCGCTACACACACTTGCCTTCAACGAACTGTCTCCACAGCTCGTCTTGGGAGATATCGCTCATTCCACGCGAAACTCTTTCCAAAAGCATTCGCCGGGCCGAGCTGTCCATGGCGGCCGCATTCAACATAGTTTCCACGAAGCTGAAAGCACGTTCTCGCAGACACACCCGCATCTGTATACTCGGTTGCCCGACCAACCTGCACCTCTTCCGGGCCGTATTTAGTCTTGTGGCCAGATCTTGGTATGTCTTCTCGATGTGGTCGATCGCGGTGGTGGAGAATCGCTCAAGCTTCTGCGCAAAGTCAATTGAGAAGGCTTGTTCGAGCGACTCGTTCCCAAGCCTGTAGTCGCTGTAGCTGCCCGCAAAGTCATGCCATCGAATCTCTGGAAGATCGGAGCCAGCAAAAGATAGGAGCACGTTCCCTTCGTGTGCGTCGTGATAGTGCCCCCAGTCCGCCATGGTGGCAATGTCCAGATGGTACCCCACCAAGATAGTGGAAACGGCTTGGACTGTCAGCGATTTGCAGAGGTTTTTGAAGGACCCATCGACACCTTTCATAAGGTCGAGTCCGATCTGGACCGACCCAGACAGGTTCGCCACGCGTTGTCCGCTTCGTGTCAGCACGGGCACTGTGGAGGATATTTGCAGACAAGCTAGACATCCGGACAGCGACGACGCGGGAGGAAAAACCATCTTCTTCCATGAAAACTCGTCTCGCCACTGCATGCCTCCACGGTACTCACTGGCACTGATGATTCGCCGCAACGTGGCTCCACGCAACGCTTCACGGAGCTTTGGCACGATGAAGGCCTGGATCCTATCACTGCCGCGATGAAGAGCTCTAGCCAAATTGTCGGCTTTTACCAACGACATTCCATCATCCATTGCGTTGAGCATGTCCTCCACCAAAGCGACCCTCACTGCAAGTTTGCCATGCCTCCCTGTGCAGAATATCACCATGTCGTCTCCTCCACCAGAGTATGCATCCCTTTCGCAATGCTGAAGTAGTGGTGCCAGACTCTTGCACTGCTCAGGATTGCAGCGGTCGGCAAAGCAATGTCTTGAACAGATGCACAGCACAACGATCTGAACACCAGCACACGCTTGGCGCATGGCATGGACGGATGAAACGAAGGGACCTTTTTCTTGAGCGGATTTGTGGCACATGCACCAACACTCAAAGGCCGTTCTGACGTGCTTGAAACCTACAATCAAGGTTCTGTGACCAGTTGTTGAAAGCAAGGCGAATGCCAAGCCACAAGATGTTCAAGAGTCATGCTCGGGAATCCCCGAATTCGGCGCTTGCAGAGTAAAATCTAAGGTCCTCCGAAGTGCTTGCAAAGGGCCGTTATTTCGCGCCGCAAGCCTGCGCTCGCGAACTGCGGGGAGGTGCAAGGAGCGGAGCCCCCAGAACCAGTCTGAAAATGCTCAAAAACCGCTCGAGCCCATCATACCCATCAAATTGCTCGGGAGCCTCTAAGACCGCTCAAAATCAGTCACCCGCCCAAGACTGGGCCGGCGCGGCGACGACGCGGCGAGGATGCAGGGCTCGGACGCTCGATGGCGCACTCGGCTCGGACGATCAGCTCGATGGACGACGCTCGGCTCGGACGACGCTCGGCTCGGACGACGCTCGGCTCGGACGACGCTCGGCTCGGACAACGTTGCGACGACGGTGACGACAGTAAGTTTAGATGCAGGGCCGATCGGGAGAGAAGGGGTGCTACGGGGTTAGGGTGTCAAAGCACTCGCAGAGCAGCTGTGGACCAAACCTACGGATCAAACCTACTGCGAGGACGAAGCGGGTTAGGGTGCCCTGAACAAAAACAACAACACCCAAAAGCAAAAAATGAATGAAAGCATTCAAGGAAAATGTTACTTAACCAGACTACTGCTACAAAGCAAAAAATAGCATCACCGACGAAAAAATCCATGAACATGCCGCTGCTCCAAGCACCTGTCTCACCAGGATCTGTCCCGCCTGCAGGCCCACGGCCCCAATCGTGCTCATCCTAAACCCGCGCGAATCCGGTGGACGATAGCCACAGGCTCGCGCCCCATGGACACTGAATGCCCCAAACCACGAAATCTTGAGCCAAACCTAGGGGACATACCCACAACAATCGTACGCTCGCCACAGTCCGGTGCGAAGCGGGCTCAGCAGGGGTTTGTGTTGAAAATCGGGGGCGCGGCCGGTCCGTGTGTGCCACCGTGAACCACTTCCTGAAGAGCCCGCTTTCCGAAGGGTGCCTGGACTTCCATCGCCGTGCTCTTCAATCCGCGCATGGGCCTGCACGTGACATTCAGAACATGCCGGGGCACTTGAATCATGCGCTCGCTCCGGGTGATTACACAGGAGGGCGGGTGTGGATCGAAGACGATGAGGGAAGACTACACGGCCCGACTGGCAGCGAACACGCGCGACCGGGCGCTGCCGGCAGGTCGCCGCTATTCCCTGGTGGAGCCGCACGAGGGCAGCATGTGGGCGCTCGCAGCTTATGTTCCACAGACGGAGCAGCACCTTGCCTGTCCCAATTCTTCCCCACTCGGAATGCGGGCGGGCTCCGAAAGGAGCAAGGTCAGAATTCCGACCCCGAAACCGGTATTCCGGCCTCGGTTCAGGCCGATGAAACGGGCGCCCTGCCCGGAATAGAGGGCGGGAACGTGATTTGTTTTCGGGCCGCTTGTCATTCTTGTCATTCCTGTCATTGTCTTCCTCCAGAGCACACAAGTACCTGTGACAGAATGACCGGTCGAAACTGAGTGCTTGCAGAAAGCGCTGCAACGGGCTTTCAGGGGGGCCCACCCGGCTATAGTTCGTAGCCGCTCGCGAGCAGCATTTAATTTAGCTTCTGGGCAGCGTTTCTGCGACTCGCAGCCCTTCCGGCTCGCAGGCCCAGCCTGTGCGCCCAAACTGCTTCCGAACAGCTCCCAAGCCGCTCACGTTCGCGAATGCAGGCCTCAAACTGCCCCAGCCCTCCAAACCGCTCCGAACGCTCCCGAGCCGCTCCTGAATAGCTCGCAGGCTCTTCATGCGCCCTCTAACTGCTCCCGAACCGCCAGGCGCCTGTTTGCAAGCACTTTAGAGCCCCTTCAATTCCGCGACCTACCGCTCCGAGCCCGCATAAACGCAACTAAATGTGATTTGGGGAGGGTCCAGCGTTTCGAGAGATGCTCGAGAAATTCCACGTTTACATTTGCAAATCCATGTTGCCATGCGAAACCTGAATTGTGTCAGCGGAGCTTGATATGATGGCACCGAAACAATCCCACGCGACATCCAAGAACGCTCGACAAGAAACCAAAGCAGATCGACTGTGATGGATTCACGTCCGCGAGCGAACGCATCGTGCCGGCCTAGGGTAGCGGATCGCCCTGCTCGCAGCCTTCGGCTTGCCGTTTTTCGCAGCAGCGCCTTCCCGCGTCCCACCGACAGTACGTGGATGGTTGGCTGTAAAACAACCTCACGAAGGGAAGCAACGGCCACCTGGCGCAGCTTCCCCAGGAAGGCTGCGCGGGACATACAGTCGTACGCGCTGCGGCCGTCGAGGGTTCAACAAACATCCGATGCTGGTCCCAATCTCAATAAATGGGTCGGCAAAATTAAAGGGGTATGGTTGGGGTAAGGCGCTGCACCTCGACCCACTTGCGATTCGTCGGGCGCTGCTTCCTGCATCACGGCACTTCCCACTGCTGCGGCATTCCCCCTTCCCACAAGCTGCTCGCCCCACTGCCACATGCAGATGCAGCGGGGACCTGGGGCGACCACCACACCACAGCTAGCGTCTTGGGCACACGCGACACCCGGGCGGGAGAAGCAGAAGCCAGGGTGGCCAGCAAGTCGGGCACCGCTGTTGTGTTGGTCAGCAGCACCGCATGGTCAGCCAGTTTAGCATGCAGGCTGGCCTGGACGAAGGCATCACTGCCATACGTGTGCTAGAGCACCACAACCCCTTGGCGGTCTGCAGGAAAGCCCAGTCCCCAAACACTGGTGGTTCCAACGGCCCCACCCTGCGCACGCAGGCCGGTGCGTTGTAAGTGAGGAGCCCAGCAAGTTCACGGACGGCGCCAAACAATCTGCCAGGGATACCACACATGTGTCATGCAATAATGCCAACTGGGAATGCACCGCCTGCAAGGCAGGGTGCACACCGAAAGCATGGAGCCCAGGCTTCCGCCTGGACGACGTGATGCCCACAGCGTGCGAATCGTAGAAAGCACTCGCAGCACGCTGTCCCCGCAAACATGGCTGCACGCGAGATGTGGCCACGACCACAGCCCGGATGCCGAGGTTGGACAAGCTGTCCCAAAAGCCCTTCAACAACCTCACATATCTCACGTGGCACAAGCCGCGCCAAACGGATTCCAAAGAATCTGTATACTGCACTGGCCACGCCAAACGGATTCCAGAGCATCTGTACCAAACGGATTCCAGAGCTTCCACTAATTTGCACGTGGTGGTCACCGTGAGCTCTTTTATTTAATCGTACAACAAGTAATTGATGCGACGCTGGTATCACCATTTACACGCACGGGGCAACCACAGTCATGCACGGCCGTCGCTTCCTGGGCGACCGCACCCACGGCCTGTCTGGCGAGGAGTCTGGTGCGCGGGCATGCGAGTGCGTGATCGCCAAGGCGGTCCAATGGGCGGTCCGCAAGTATTGCTATAATTATTGCTATGCAAAGGCGCCTCAAACCGATTTGCATCGCGGGCGGTGGGAGCGTGGTTGCCGGCTCTGTAGAGATGGCAGCGAGCCAACAAGTGCCCGCTTGTGGTTCTGTTTAGGTCCCAGAAGCCGACATTCGAACGCGCTTGCACGAGGCCGGCAGGGGCGATCTACGATGCGCTGGACGAGGATACACCGTACGCTTGACCGGCGGCCACTGCACGTCACCAGTCCCCAGTCGCAGCTCTTGGATCCGTCTGGGCAGGAGATCAATCGCCTGTGCAGTGAGGCGAGCTCATGCCAGGTGAAACACCTCCGCAGTCCCCGTGCCGGGATGCCGGTAAAGCCTTCAACCGCGCCGGGTCTCCTGCGAAGCGGCGGGCCTGCGTGTTTCAGCGGCCGCCCACCTCGGAGCCAAGCGCGAGGGGTGCCACACGCGTGCGGCGGCGAGAAGCTGTATCCATTCGCTTCGATGGAATCACCGGTGCGTGAACCTTCCGTTGCCCAGCACTCAAACGTGTCAGAACCGTTATCAATGCTTTGCCAACTCCCGCGGACTGGGCCACACGAAAAAGCCGTGAACCTTGAGGTGCTGCGGCCAGGCCAGAGGCGCGATAACCTTCAGCCCATCTGAGAGTGCGCCTGAGAGTGGAATGTGGACCAGCGGAGGGCAGCACTGGTCCGCAGGTGAGTTTCTCCAAAGTGGCGGCGGAACGCCTCGCAAAGGTCAACGTCGTTTGTCACTGCAACGGCATCCGAGTCGGAGTCCGTAGTGTTGGCGTCGCTGTGCTGTTGGCGGGTAGGACGTTGGCAGCGCGACCTTCTTCGCCTGTGGCGTCGACGGGCAACGTGGTCATGGCGCCCGGTGGAAGCGCAAATTGGTGCGCAGTGGCCATCGCAAGCCCACACGAGTGAGGCGTAACAGTGCGACTGGCGAGATGCCAGGGGCACGGCCGGGCAGCAGAAAAATTTGCGAATCGTGCCAGCTGGTGAGGTGGCCGGCCGTTCACACCCTTGGATCATCATGACTCTACATATACCCTCAGGACCGAAACCGCCGATCTAACCTTCCGGGAGCTCCCTGTCACACCTTGACAACCACGAATCCACCCTGCGTACCCAACCTTTATCTCCAAGCCACTAAAGGCCCAGCCTCGTGACCCCAACCCTCGAGCGATCGTGAACCACAATCAGAACGAAGGTTACACCAATGTATAAGATCCATGCAAAGATTCAGGAGCGCAACTCCAGCTACAAACGTGTAACAACTTGGAACCGGCGGGGTTAAAACGAACTTCATTTTGTGGCCAGACCCCCTCCCGCCTGTGGCAACGACCGCGGGTGGGGGTTCGGTCGGTGCAGCAGGCCGGGGAAAATGCACTCCATGAAGCACAATTCCAGACTCGTGTAAGTGCGGACGACAGTTTCGCCCACGTGGAAACG